ATCTGGAGTAGTTATTTCGACTATTTGGTCTATTGTAGTGATTTTGTGATGAATTATGCGTGTTTCTTCGTTCTGGTGATCTTCCTCTATAACTTGAGTTATATGGTGATTGATTTCTTGTATAATTTGTATTGTTCGGGAGTGGTTTTCCTGAACTGTTGTTGCTGTAGACTGTTTTGTTCGGTAGGTTTTGATCTTTTTTCATGTATTGATGGAATGATTTATTTGGTTCTTTATATTTTTGAGGTTTATTTTGATTGTCTTGCTGTTTTTGTCTACATTCGGAAATACTATGTCCGTATCGTCGGCAATAATTACACCATTTTTTGAAAGATGGTTTGCCTTTAAAGTTTGGGTTCTTTTCATAAATATTGAGTATTTCAGTGATTTTTTCAACGAGGTCTGTCTCTGATTCCTGTATATTATTAATATTAGTGGGAGTCGTTTCAATTCTGTTAACGTATTGTAATTTCAGATTTTCCGTTTCTTCTAGTTTCATCGTGATTTCTGCTTGTTCTAATTTGTCTACTAGTTTTCGAAAATCTAAATCGGGTTCTCGAATTGAAGAAGGATGGGATGCTCTCTTTTTTATTGCTATTTTCCTTAATTGTGGTGTTAAGGTCATCATTAAGATTTCTGTCATCTTTGTGTTTTTATAGTCATGTGTATTTAATGAATATGCTTTTCGAACTAGTGTTTCGATTCGTACTGCTATTTGCTTGATGGTTTCGTTTGGTAATCTGCGAATTTCATTACATAAAACTCTTTGTTGTTGTTTGTTTCTTTCGGAGTCAAACATTTTTGAGAATTCCTGTGTAAACCTTTTCCAGTTTGATTTTATTTCTAGAGGTAGTACTGAAAACCATTTTTGGGCTGCGCCATCTAAGGTTGTTTGTATTAACGCTGTGCGTCGATGTATCCAGTTTTGATGTAGTGGCGTATTAATTGGTTCAGGTCCAATATTTAAAATCAGGTTTGCTGTTACTGCATTTAAATAATCTTCTACAGAGTATTCAGGATCTGTTCCTGTGAAAACCATTAAAGGTTTGTTTGATGTTATTGATGATCCACCCATAAGGTATGGATTCATTGTCATTTGTAATGATTCTGCTGCATTTGGCATTTGAGAAAAATTCGAAAGTTGGTTTCTTGTTATTTCATGTTGTTGGAGATAATATGGGAGTGGTATTTCATTTTGCATTTGTGATGCTTGATACGAGTGTGCAGTCATTGGATTTTGTTGTTGAATTGGTTGAAAAGATTGTGTATTAATTAAATTTTGTTGTTGAATTGGTTGTTGATGTTGTGCATCTATTGGTTGTGGAGAAAAATTTCTATGATTTGTACGTGTTCTCTGTATTCCTTGTCTACGATATTCTTGAGTATTTTGTGCAAATATATCTGGTTGTAAGAAATCATCATCTGAGGATAAATAATCCATTTGATAAGATGTCTGTTTTTTATTTTTATTTTGTTGAAAAAATGGGTAATTTTCACTGTGATCCTGTGGAGGATTTGTTTGGAAATTTATTGAATTAGGTTGGGTCATTGGGTTATCCCAATTTCGAGATCTTGTATATTGGTTAAAATTCCTTTGTGGTTGATTATATGTTTTTGATGGATGTGTATAATTATAATTATGGTCTGTAAAGTTGTTTCTAGTGAATGTTTTGCGTGTTTTTGATGGTATTGTCATGGGTCTGTATGTTTGGTAATCCATATGTGAATATTTAGGGGCAACCGAAGATTTAACGGTTGATTGTAAGGTTACCTGTGTTTGTGAAGGATTTGTATTTCTTGGTGTTGTTAAATTTGGGCGTATTGGTGAAATACTTTGTTGTGTAGTTGTTGTGTGTACAATTTCTTCATTTATGAAGTGTGATGGTGTCTGGATATCTTGTTGAGTAAGATTCCTAGTTCCATTGAGGTTTTCATTGTGTATAACTGTAGAGTTTAAACTATTATTTTGTGTATCGGGCAAAAATGTATTATAGTTTAATGGTGTTGCATCAATGGTTAATGGTATTACTTTTACATAATCTCTTATGTAAGATATCGTACTTATTGCTTGACTTGAGATTGATTGTGGGAAGCTTATAAATGCTGGATGAGACCATTCGGGGTCCCAAACATAATCTGATTGTTCTGTGATAGCGGTATCATCGTTCGAGTTTTGGGGTCTAAAATTTTTTCTTGCTTGTGCAATTAAATCAATATTGTGTGTGAAATAATCTATTATGAACCATGCCAAAATTTTTTGTAGATCGTGTTTTGTATGTTGTGAAACGTCGTCTTTCGTGAAATTTTCTTTAATGATGTTTAAATAACTTGAGAGTAGTGTGATTTCATGTCGTACTCTTAAATGTTTAGATGTTTCTGTCGGTGAGACATTTGTTATTGGGATTTCGTTTTCTAATATTGAAATATAACTATATATTATTGCGAAAACTTCATTGGTGAATATGGAGTTTGCTCTTTGTGAGTTATGATATTGGATGCTTTTTATATATTCTGAAAAAACTTTTGAAAATTCTAAATCAAGATCGTCTGTTTGAATTGTATATTTTCTATTATTATGGTTTGGTGAGGTGAATTCTATGGAGTAGATTCCATACTGTTGTGTTATGTTGCATATATCTTTTAAGTAGTGGTCTATGATTTGTCTTTTGATTTTTATATCGGGGAACTCTGTTTTACATGGACTAATTCCGGGTTCAAATAAATTTACGAGTAAATTTTGACAAAATATGTGTTGTCCTCTATCAGTATCTGCATCTACTATAAAAGGAAAGATTTCATCATCATCTGGAGTTTCTTCACCTGGAGTGTGCGTTGAGCTCATTTTTTCGTTCGATGACTGTTAATATGTAATTATTAATGTGTCGAATTGGTTGATTCCAATTGTATAAATGTACTGGTTTGTGTTTGTACTGTTTTTTTATTCTTCTTTTTCCTCTTTGTGATGAATTTGAAGTTGTTTCTGAGTCAGAGAAATATAATTGATCGTGTATTGGGCAATTTTTATCTATTGATTCTTTTAGTTTGTAAAGTTCGTCTAAACTGTTGGTTTCTGATTCTGAAAATGCGTTTCGATTTTTTGAAAATCTTTTTCGTGTTATTTGTCTTTGTTTCGTTATTATTTTTCTTTTTAATGTTTGTCGTTTTGTTCTAATGTATCCAACTGTTTGTGTATGAGGTGTGATTACAAGGTCGTATTTTTTGTTATCTATTTCACAATTGTGTAAAACGATTGTTTGTTTATTTCCTAGGTTTTTAAATGACATAAGGTTTAGAATGACGGATGCAAAGGGTTGTTAAATGATTTCTATTTTCCTAAACTGTTAGTTCTTACGATTTTTTGGTTAGCTTAACCTGGGTCTATTTGTTCAGGGTTGGAGAGAAAAGTATATCGATTCCGAAGAATGATTTTTTACTTTCTCGTGGCTAGTATAAGTTAAGGTGTTAACTTACTTAATCTTACTTAGGGGTAGTGATTGTGTTCAGGGTTGGAGAATAGTAAATCGATCCACAAGGTTCAGGTATAATTAGAACGCGAGTAGTTCGTTAGATACTATTTTAAACTTACTAAGTTTAAGATTTATCCTGGGTCTGGTAAGAGGGGGGATCAAGTGAAGGATGAATAACCGAAGTTCTTCACTGTTTATCCTAATTTGAATGATTAGTTTTGTTCAAAAATTTCTATTAGTCCTGGGTTTTTAGAAAGGGTTGGATAGTGAATCGACGTTTGAGGTCGTTAGACACTAGTTAAGTGGGTGGGGGAGAACAAAGTTGTTCTTTTTGATCCAAGGATAGGCCTTGATGATCAAGTTTTAAATTTAATTAAATAGAAAATGATTTAAGATCCAAGGATAAGCCTTGATGATCTGGTTTTAAAATTAAGTGAATTTAGGTTTTAATAAAATTTTAAATGTGTGTAAAGGAAAGATTTAGTGTTTTGATGATATTAGTGGGTTTATGATTGCTGTTATGTTTTAGATGATGGAGCTGGAACAACAGGATGATTTATGATTACTAACCATTTATTGTCATGCTACTAATTTTTATTTTGATTTTTCAATAAATATTTTTCAAACATGTTTTGTATATTACTGCAGAGTTTTAGGAAAACGATCTGAGATCTTTTTATCAATCGTTATTGTATATTAATAATTTTGTTTAGCGCCTGAAATGATTTTGAAGATTAACTTCAAGATTTTATGTTTGCAAATGAAAATCTAAATTCATTGCTAGTAGTATTCTAAATATAAAAGTTTGTTCTGGTTTTTGCCTAACTATCATATAGCTATATGGCAAGTTTCTACTTTGTCGTATGTTGTCTCTGGTTCGAGGTCTTCTTCCAATTCCGGGTAGTTCTGTTATGGTTCGGAATATTGGCTCTGATCTATTGAGTCGTAGAGACATTTCGATTAAATTATTGTCGTATAACATTTTGTAAATGTTTTTGTCTAATTTCTAATCTATTTTGGTTAATTCTAAGCTATTAAGGTCTTGTTCGAGACTTATGGTCGCACCAGATGAGTTAGAACCGAGGTGGTTAACTCATAGAGTAATTTCGGATAGGGTACACCGTCTGCTCGTCACGCTATCTTATTTTCGGCCGGATAGATTCGTGCAACTTCTTAGTCTAATACCGATCCTAATCTTACTCTTATACTATCTAGTCTCAGGTTGTTTAACTAGTCTCTGCTAGGCTCAATAGATCTAGGGTATACTGGTTTATTGCGGTTGCTGAAGTGCTCGGGAGAGTCCAACTAATTTCTAAGTTAAATTCAAATCTCTCTGGTGCTGAAATTACAAGTAACTTCAGCACTTACAAATAAGTGGGTTGTTAGTTAGATGGATCATGATTGGTTAATATTAAATACTTTACATTGGTAAAACATTTAATTTATCCAATCATAAAATATAGTTTAGATCAGGTTCCACTGGGGTTGAAGGGCAAGTGGTAATAAAAATCGACCTCTTTTGTTTTTTTCCAGCTATGTGCAGCTAACTTTCTCCTGGTTCTCTACATCTCGCTGTGTCTGCCCTATCCCAGACTGAAGAGGGTGCTGACCTCTCTGATGGCAGTGTCATGTTCACTCATGGTTCTAGCCAGAATGATATTCCAGCTCAGCTACATCGACGAGAAGATGTTCCAGACCAAGTGCAACAATGCTAGTTATTATTATGCTCAATTTAGACCTAAATAGATCTGAAAATTGGATGTACAGTCTAAAATTGGGCCGAGTAGAGCAGGAAAGTGCCAAAGCTTTTAACATCCGAGAATTTAACTATCTATGTTCAATTTTCTTGAAAATTGTTAGTCGTTCTGTACGTTTTTTTGTCATCAGTTTGTCAACCAAATATTCACTAGATTTTAGATTTAGATTGCTCAAATCTCGTAATTTAAATTCATCTCTGCGTGATTTTCAGACAGCAGTTCTAGTGACGTTGGCCGGTGATTTGGGCGTGGATGAAGATCTAGAATCAGACAGTTCTAACCAGACGTTGAACCAGGCTCTGTGGGGCAGCTGGGGTCAGCCATTCCAGAACATCTCAGACAGTGCCCAGTGGGCGGGTCTGAACAAAATAACCCACGTTGAGACATCACTCTCCAATTATGTCAGGGTAGGTGGTGCTCATTAATTTACATCAAGCCAACACCTAAATTTCTGCTTTCTCACAAACGTTTTCTTTTTAAAATCAGAATAAAAGTCTGTTATTGATATTGATGCAATACCTTAACGCGTAAATGATTTAATTAAATGTATATTGTTTTGCGCGCGAAATGAACTTCTCATTTTTTCTTCAAGTTTAAATTAAATCACTCTTGAAATAGTTTTAATAGATTTCAACTTTGATGCTGTCTAGGACCACGTGCTTCTGCTGCTGATGATTCTGGTGGATGCGACTGTGAATTACCACCAGAAGTTTGTGGAGAAGATCAAGGGTGGGAAGACACTGCCTGTGGGGGTGCTGATCGGAGGGGTGAGCAGGAGGGAGGCGGACAGGGATCTCAGACACATGGCCTTGTACTTCATCAATTATGGATTCTACAAGTTCGGACTAGAGGTTAGACACTACTAATTAGAGTCTTACAATTCCTCCGTCCTCCTTATTTCACCCAGTAAGGAACTTCCGCCCTTTTCATACATTTCCGCACTGTATAAGATCCGACCTAGTAGTATTTTTAGAATAAACAAGTTGCGAAATGTTTTAACCTTTTTTCTCTCGTTTTAAATTGCTTTGTGTACAGTGGCGTGCGCAGAATTTTTTTCTAAGGCGGGGCGGTTTTTCGAAAAGTTTTGAAAATTTTGCGGATTTTTTTTTAGGTCGATCAATTTAATTTTCCGAGCTATCCAAAATTACTATAAAAACCTCATTTAACCAAAAATTTTCTGCACCGCAGGCAAATTTTAAAAAATTTACGCCGTTTTTAGGCGTTTTTTTGAAATTGAATAAAGAATTGCGTTTTTTCGGCGTGCGCTTCCTTTGAAATTAGTATACATTGACGCCAAAGGCGCCTCTAGAAAAATTTTTGAGGTTGGTCGTAAAATTATACCAAAGGGAGACCCTTTGGAAAAATATGGCAACCAGAATTGAAGGGAAAGAGCGGTCACCCCGCCCCCTCCCCTCAGCCTGCTACTGTTTGTGTATGTTTATCGAAAACTCAACGCAACTATTTTGGATCTTCGGTCTAAATGATACCGATCAGCATCTATGTGAATCAATAAATTTCAAGATCTCGTATAGAAAAACGTTTTCTCTGAGTTTGTCTCATTTTGTCTTTTCATCGTCTAACTAACACTTATTTTGCCAATTGTAGGTGTGCTTCTTGGTCACAGTGGTGAACATCTGCATGCGTCTGGATATTGTGTCCATAGTGCACTGGCTGTGGCTGCTGTTCCTCATCTTCCTGCCCAGAAGGATCATCCACCATATATGGCCCTGTTACGTCATCACCCTCACCATACTCTTACCCACACAGTACCTCATGTGTCTAGGCAAGTAGACATTGGCAGTGTCTGATTAGCCTAACTTGCACTTAGCCGAAAAACTCTTTTTGGCCAAAACAAATCTGATTTGCTAGCAGTGAAGATTGAAGTTAGTCTTGGTATGATAGCACGAAACAACCCTACGGATAAACTTGGCACCCAAATTTGAGGGTCACACTCGCCACCCTTCGATGATACTGATCTTTAATTAGGGTTCCAATTATAATAACAGAAAATCGTTCGAGAATCGAACAATATAAATGACTCATTTATGTTAAATGAACAATTTGGTATTTGCGATTGTACGCTCGTATCCATGACTCATTCTGTTTGTGTTTTTTTTTCAGGTCTTCCGCCCTCGTTGTGCCACAAGTACCCCTGGTTCGACACCAACATGAAGTACAACATGTCTGTTTGGCTCTTTCTACCCAACTATGTCGACCCTCCCAACAAGTGGTTCCTCATGGGTCAGTATCTCTTTCTTCCTACTGATACTCAATATTAACTTTTTTCTTGTTTGCCCAAATGACTTTAGATTCGAACTTCCGTCAAAAATGGACCAGAAAAGGAACCACTCAGCTAGTTCCTTACAAAAAACCGTTGTTCTGACTCTGCTTCATACCTTTATGTAATTCGTTGTCCTCTCTTTATGCAACGAGTTCAATTTATTGTTGGCATCGAACAACTATCTTTTTGTTTTTGACTATGAACTACAATGGTCTAGACTGCGAAACTCTTTTGAACCTCATATCAAAAAGTCAAAAAGTACATAGAACTCTTGGTATATTTTTTTCTGAATATCAAAAAATGGTTGGTCCTTCTTTTTCTGGTTAAATGAATGGTGTGAACAACTTCAGGTGACTTCATCCAATTCCTGGTAGTGTCGATGCAGTGGCTGGTGTTTGAGCAGGAGAGGGGAGTAGAAGATCCGATGGAAAAGGGAGGGGAGAACAGAGACACCTACTCGGACGAGAACGCCTCTCAGGTGCCGGACTTCATGATGAACAGGTGCGAACTTTTTATCTTGCTCAGCAATTTGACTTTTCTGCAATATATACTAATTTTTGAGGGGGAGCACGCGCCGAAAAAAAACGCAATTTTTTGGTCTGAATTTTCCAAAAAGTGCCTAAAAACGCCTTTTTCGGACTGTTTTTTTTCAAAATTTTGCTTGCGGCGCAGAAAATTTGGCCAAAACAGGGACTCAACCGTGCTTAGGGAGAGCTCGAAAAATCAATTCGGTCGACCTAAAAAAAAAGGTCGACAAAATTTTCGAAAATTTTTTGAAAATCCGCCCCCCTCCCTCGAGAAAATCCTAGATCCGCCCCTGTGCGAGACTATTGTAGTCCAGCACAAAATAAGAATTTACTCTGTAATAAAGAAATCCTTTTGATTTTTGGGAACAATTAGTATTCTCTTTGTTCTTTGCGACACATACAATGGAAATAGACGTTTCTCATATTTTTTCTTTGGTATGTAGAAGTAGTCTTCTGGACAACATCAAAGTGGTGGTGTTCAACTACCTCTACTGGTTCACCTATGCCATCGTGTTCTTGGCGGGCACAAGCAGAGTGTCCATTCTCTGTCTGGGCTATGTCTGCTTCTCCTTCATGTTCTTCTGGCAGGGACAGGATCTCCTCATCAAGCCCAGAGCCACTCTTCTGAGATCGTAAGTGGATAACAATTCGATGTTAAAAGTAATCTTCAGCCGCTGTTGTCTTCAACCGCTGCAATTACAATAAAGATATTCTTGGGCAGCATAAAAAGACTGAAAAGATTTTTTTTAGAATCATACGCTTTTAGAAAATCACCTTAAGCCGCTGCTATTTACAATCAAGATCTTCTTACGTAACATAAATAGACGTTTATATGGGTAACAAAAAAGAGGCATCATAAAAAATGTTTATACTTTTTGTCGCAATTGAAATCTAGGTATGTGCCATTTTTGGTTATGTTTTGTTACGTAATGTTACTACCTGCTTTTTCTCTTCGTGCAGTTGGAACAAGTTAGTGATGTACAATCTGGTAGTGATTCTGCTGAAGAACTGCTTCCACATTGTGGGTTGTGTCTACTTCCATGAACTCCTTGGACACTGCTGGATCCTGCAGGCATTCTCCATCGTCTGTATCAGAGACTTCTCCATATCCGCCGACGCACGTCAGTTTGCTCAGATGTACTCATGTTATTTTTACGTTGCGTTTCACAACAGTTTTGTCGATTTTTGTTAGTAGGTGTTTGAGAGTAATGAACGTAGTGAAGACTCTTATATGGGTATTGCTGATTTTTTTTGTTTTTTTTTCAGGAAAAGTTTTAAAAGTCTCTAATAACTACAGATGTGCATTCAAACATATTGATGCACTAATGAATGCACTTAGGTATATATCCCTTTTTTGATTTCAGTTGAAGTTCATCTGCTGAAAGTGACGTAAATAGTACTCTCGAAAAACTAACGAGGAAATATCGCAAAAAAAACTTAAACGATTTCTAGTTTCAAAAGTGGAATTTAATTTTTGGATTTTCAGCGAAATAAAAACCTTACCTGTTGTTCCAATTTTTTCAAGTTGGATTAATATTCTCAAAAAAGCGCCAATCATAAATCGTTCTAGAAATTCAAAGAGCTTAAAGGGCATTTATTTTTTTCTTTGAAACTCTTCGTTTGGCTATGTTTTTTTATCAGTTGCTGATTTAGGGGGTGGGAGCAGACGCTTTTTGACTGCTCTTCAGTTTTTCAAAAGCGTCTTTGTCAATTTATACTAATTTGAGAGAGGTAGTTAATGGACTGTTCTTTCAAAGCATGGCTTACTGAGCGAAAACTTGGTCAAAGTAGGATCTTGGGAGTGATTTGGAAGAGCCAGGAAAATCAAAATAATCGACTTAAAACAAAATTTAACAAAATACGCTATCCCCTCAAGCAATCCTAGATCCACCCCAGGCGTTAATTAATGTAATGAACTTTGAAAAAGAGTCATTGCTTTTATCATTAAGTGGTGGTCTAACTAAAAATACCAGTTTTTTTTTTCATAAATATCGAGGTGGTGTACTAAAATATAAATAATATCTAATATGGTATACATTCATAGTTTTTGTTCCTACCATTGCAAAGGGGGAAGGTTATTTTTGTCTTCGGGTATCTGTTTCTTTTTTATTCTTTTTCCAATCAAAATCACGTTCCACAAACAATCATTGGAATGGTTTGAGTGATAGATCATGTATAAAAGTTTTTAGTCGTGATTCTAACCACATTAAAAAAGTCTCAAAAAAAGTGTTGAAAAAACGGTTCAAAATTTGTGAAACTTTAGTCTATTTTCGAGTGAGAAAAGCAAGCAAGCACGTTAAATTTTTCATTTAAAAAGCACAAAATTCACCTTATACTGCAGAAAAAAAAATAGTTTTGAAGCTTCAGGTAGCGCAATTACAAAATCTTAATGTTTTTTTGCCAAAAACGAATGTTTTTTTTTGTTTCTTGCTTTTGACTCTTTTTGTGAAGACAATTTTTGTCAATAATGCCTAACTCACTAACAAGATACGCGTTTGAATAGTTTGCAAGACAGAAACACGACATTAAAAAGAAAAATAAGCAAAAACAATAAAAAAAATTTTTATATTAATATGGTCTGAATATTCTATGCTGCACAGTAACCAGCTATCTTCACTGGGTTACAAAAACCCTATTTTTGATTTAAAAAAACTTTGTTATTACAGTTACGAATTTTAGTGAGGTAGTGTTATAGTACGACTTTTTTTTCTAACCTACGTAGCAAATAGTGGTGCCACTGTTAGGGCACCTTTGCAGCTTTTTGATAGCATGCACTTTGTCATTCGATTAGTTATAAGTTAACACAGTTGATGCATTTTTCATTGTTCAAATAAATCAAAAAAAGTAATTTGCTTCAAACATCAGCACAATTATCGTTTTCAGAAATTTTCCATCTCAATATATCAAACAACACTTTTCAAATACTTAATTTATACATAATTTGGTTTTGTGCTTTCAACTTTATTACATGCAAAGTTAACATGGATGCCTTCAGTTTGTTATATTCCAAATTATTTTATGCCAAATTGTGTGTATTTGTATTTGTTGCCAATTTTGCTGCATCGCATCGGCAATTTATTGGCTTATGTAGCTGCTTCATTCGTGACTAGTGTTTGTCGGTTGTTAAGAGTTCGTGGCCAAGCGGGGCAGTGCTTGAGACTTTACACCTCGAGGTTGCTTTTTCGAATCTTATACGTAGCAAAGCTTACTAATTCGATGGTTATCCCTTTTCATTTAATAGAGCTTCGCCACTTTGTAACCAATAAGTTCCGTTAACTCAAAGACGCCGAATAAATCTGACTCAGAAATTGTATTGAGCAGGCTAATTGATCCATGCGTTGTGTAACTACATGCAAAATGTGCCCCTTTTGTAAGGGTTTAAAAGGGTTCATTCAGAGAACAAAAAAAAGTAAGCCTGATTTTTCAAATATCTGTTTAAACAATTTTACGATTCGGAAATTTATCAGTTAGTTTAACATTCGTTCGGTTGTTCAAATTTGCAAACTAAGCCACATAAACATTGATATGGCTCGCGAGTCATTGCCTTTTTTACATGGGCATGCTTATCATTAGACATGATAATAGGTTAATTTTCAAACTGAATTCAGACAAGCTAAAGGCATTGCGAACATTCTGGGCTTCGCATTGACATAAGCAGCTTTGTGTAAGCTTCGATAAGCTTCCGTTTTTGGCTTAGTGTAGTTTATCAACTTTTCCAACCGGGTCTTGGTACCGACTTGCGAAATCGTGCCGATACTGTTTTTAGACCCAAAATCGCACTCAATGATACGTAAAATTTTTGGTTTGTCGCGCCAAGGACTTAAATTAGTCGCGTCGAAGTCTTAGAGTAGTCGAGCTAAAGTCTTTTGAACTCTGCAATTATACAAACCCTAAAAAGTTTCTGAAACCGAGTTGAAAAGAAAGGCTTCACTTGATCTTGAACAACGAATTAAGAAGCAATAGTGGGCAACAGTTTTGAGTAGTTCGACTTGGTAGAAAGAAAAATCAGGCAGCACAAGACTTGCACAAAATTTCGCAGTGACTGACTAATAAACCCTTCTTGTTTATGCTTGCGGTTAGCTATTATCAAGTCAGACGAAGATTTTCAAATCGCTCAAAAAACGCCACATTTTTTGTCTAATATTTTTGAAACTCTTTTTGAAAATAATGATGTACAATGATTAAATTTATTAAGAGTAATTACGTATAATGACTACTATTTTATAGATCATTTGTTTTTGTGTTTTTTTTCTGAAAAAAACTTAAATTTCTTCACGCTCCGTTTTGATTTTTGCGGTTTGACTTTTGATTTCTTTTTAAAATTACTTCATTTCTTTTTGAAATATAAAAATTACCAGGACTAAATTAATATATGTGATTATATTTTCAAATCAGCTAGTATTTTTATGGGTCGCGATAATCCTGAATTTGCTGATCTCGGTCGCGCCAGTTGGTACTATCTTTTCTAGCTGCAAAACTTGCTGGAATGCGGTCGCGTATGTTTTTTCTCACCTGCAAAACCTTGACCTGCTGAGTTTCATTTGTGCCGATTAGGAATTTTTTTCAGACGATAAAGTTTTAGTTTTTGGTAAAGTTCGGTTGCGCCTATTTTTTTCCGGCCACGAAAGTCTTAACTTGCTCCACTTCAGAGGACCTGGTTTCATCTCAGCCGCGAAAGCCAAAACTTGCAGAGTTTGGGTCGTGTCGGTTTTTTCTCAGCCACGAAAAACATGACACAAGCTAAATTTTGGTCTCGCTGCTCCATAATGATGTTTAGTTGCACCGGTTTGAACGTAGCATTTTCTTTGCGTTGTTCACTTTTCGTTAATTTTTTGGATCGCGCCAGTCGCGACAATTTTTTAATGTCACGCCGATCGAAACAATTTTTCTTGTGTCGCGCCGGTTGTGCAAATTTTTGTTGCGCTTGTAGCAACACTTAAGTAGCGGATTTTGAGCCTGGTACTTGCCCGTAGGCTATGTTTTGGCTTTAGCTTGCTTTTTGTGCACAAACGCATAAACATACCAAAAAAAAAGAGAAACAAGTTGAGTAATTTAAAAAATTTAAGAACGACAGATGAAATAAAAACTAGAAAGATAAAAATTTTTTGAGACACATGTTTTCTGTTATAGAGACGGGAACGTGTGAATTGCCGACAGATGCGGCTGGCCTATTTATGGACTGTTTCTGTTTTGCCACTATTCTGACCCAGAGGAAAATATTCCAGAGCAGCTACTTCCACTACGTATATCTGGAGCTCAGAGAACAGACTCTACAAGCATCCAGGTTGGTCGCTCTAATGAAGAAGAAACAGTAATCAGAATAATGTAATGTGTCGACTTTGAAAGTGTTTCGAACGATATTTCGTAACGATGTTCAAATCTCTATTAGATCGTAATTTTCATTTTTTTCGAATTTTTTCTGTGGAGCAAAATAATTGTCGATTGAGTCATATCTTCAAAGACATCGAGGTGTCAAAGTTTTGTGTACTATATGGTGTACTATATTTTCTAACATGGTCAGAATTTTCTTTAATTACATGTCTCACAATTTAAGGATAAGAGGATGTGTAGTGTTTATTTAACCATCGCTCGTAGGAAACTTCTAGACATTTTTTGTCCTAGGGGCGCATATCTAATCAACTCTAACCTGAGGAAAGAGATCAAGAGACGCCATGAGGAGGAGCAGCAGACTGTGGACAAGATCCGAAGGTCCATGACCAAAATTAGACACAGACAAAGGACCACAGCCGGCCACAGTGGGGTACAGTCACAGCTAGCCAGTCAGCAATGGGTCCCAGAGACACACAACCAAGGTCAGCTCATGATATTGAGCTCTTTTAAGTTCACCAATCAATGATCTAATGTGAAGCTTAATTAAAAGCATTAACTGAAATATTGCTCTCTTTCAAGAGCTCACCTCGCAAATTGCAACAACGTCGAGGAAATGTGGTTTTAACTGAAGGCGTTTTAAAAAATAACCGGGTTTGGATGATGAACAGTACATGTTGAAGTTAACAGTTTGCACGTCTCTTAAAGCATCTATATCGTTGCTGATAGCAAGGTTTCGCGTTTGATCTCCGCAAGGAAGGCACGTTTTATTGTTATGGTGGAAATTATCAAAAGTTATTTAGTAAAATAGTTCTCTTTTGCAGCCATCTTCACTGGCTACTTGCAGTTTGACGGACGCACTGGCAACGAGAGCGACTCAGACAGCGACTTGGACGAGTACTTCGATGCCGCACAGGCAGACGCCAAGCAAGCACCAAGTGCACTAGACGTAAGATAGTAAAAGCTCCCGGGTGCACCGGTAAATAAGTCGACATGACATTAAGACGACAAATGAGAGCTATGACATGTAAACTGAACTGTTCGAATTGAAGCAATTTGTATATCTCAGAAGTACACTTGAAGAGTTTGCGTGTGCTGTCGCCTTAAAATCCCACGAACGGTTGTTGTCATCTTAACATTTGTCGGACAGCAAGCTCCCGTTTTCTAGAGTAAGCCAGAAGTTATTAACCCGTGAATAACCAAATAGAACCTGGTCCATTTTGCAGCATGGTGATTTTAATCTCACACTTATGGCGCTTTTTTCATCTTGACTCAAGTTTAATTATTTTTTCGAGTATTTTGCTCTGGATTCAGCGAAACTTAAAAGCTCTTGGACGAAGTTATCATCCTCCCCCCCCCCCCCCCAAAGTTGTTTGGGGGGGGGGGGTATTATCTTGGTTCTAAGTTAGGAATTTTCAGCCAATCAGAATCGAGCATTTTACTACATGTAGCGCTTAGCAAATTTAATGCGAATTAAATGCTGGGGTGGAAGATATTAACTTGGTCTATCTGGGGGAGGATGTTAACTTGGTCCAAGCTCTTTTTCAGAAACACTATTCAGATAGTGCTGGTAGCAATACCGTGTTTTGAAGAGCTTCTTTTGTTTCAGTATGCCTATGGAGCCTTGGTTGCTGGAGCAGAAACAGCATTAAAGCGACATTCTCGCCAGTCATCCACCGATAGCCAGTTCTTCGGTTAGACCTGTATATTTACTCTGCTATCTTGTTTAAAATTATGGGGAGTTTTAGAAAAAGCCATATTCAATTTGGTTATAATGCTTATTCTCAATTGACAATTCTTCCAGTAAGTGTGAACGATACACGAAAACTAAAATGAATGCAGAAATCACCGAAATCAAAGTCCATGTGATAGTCGAAATGTCTTTTGAAGTTTCAAGAGAGCTCAACATTTCTTAGGTTCTGTGATCAACTCTATGAACGGGCTCTCGAATAGCGGAGGCGTGGGGAGTTCCAGGAAGCACCGGAAGAGTAGAAGCAGCATGGTCGGCAGCAGACCTAGTTCATTCCACAGCATGTCTAGGGATCCAACAGTCGAAGACTTTTCTCAGCTCCAAGGTCCTCGATCTCAAAATTAACATCGAAGTTGTTGGGTTATCTAAAGAGTTTCGATTTCCAGCATTAACTATAAAACTAAACGAGAAAAAGGCAACCGAAGTAGCTTTCTGAGTGTTAAATTACTTCAGATCAAAAAATATTATATTAAAATAAGGTTTTAAACATTGTCGATGATGAGATATTCACAAAATTGATCATTTGTTTTCAGATGAACTGAAAAACAAAGCAGAAGGTTTAATGAGCCGACAAGCTGCACACTCTCATTCATTCGCACGAAGGTCAACCAGGCCGATGAGTCTCAACATTAGAAATTCCGCCACGGCAGAAGACATGATTTTGGAGGACCGAGAGAGTCCCACCTCGGATTACAACACGTGTTTCGACGAGGGGGAGGCATTGCATCGGGGAATTTCAGCGTCGACTACTTTTCCCACTACTATCTTGGAGAGTGACGAATTGGCAGCGGCAGATGAAGGTTAGTGTATTTCAAAGTTTCGTCTATTTCTTTTTTCGAAATCCAGTTCCATAGTTCTGCTTAACAGTATTGTTTGGTTGTTTTGATAAAATAAGCACAAAAAAAATTGATTTTTATCGTTTTTATTTCCGTAGGTATTTTAATTGAATTATTTGTCAAATATGATGATTTTTACCCCTCGCTGCTCATTTTCATTATCAGCCACTTTAAACATGTTAAATTTCAAGTCAATATTTTTAGGCGATTTAAACTAAATATTTTACCAGCATTTACTTTATTGCTTGCAATGACTTTAAAAAAATGGCTGGCGTTAATTTGACATGTAAAACTGGAGTTGCGATGACTTTTGCATCATTTGCAGCAATCATACTAGATGACTATGATGTGATTGAGTCTCCCAGCGCTAACAAATTCACTAATAATCAGTATCAGTTCAGGAGAACCGGTGAGTCATCGTATGTTGTATCATCGGAGTAATCAGTGGATCCCAAAATATAACCTATAGGTTATGTGTCATAACCTGTGTCAAAATATAACTAGTCATAACCAGCTTACCCACTTCATAATCATAATCGAGTCACCTGCAAATCATAATCGTGTCACCCGCTTGATCAATTCCGCCTCCAGTGCTTACAGAATGCGCTTCTACTAAACATCAGCCGTTGGCTGCATCATCTCAGACTAAAACAGAGCTTCATATAAGTTCCACTTTAACTAACCAACAGTCTAATTATTTTTCAAGTTAAGTTGAACTAACGAGGCAGTCAAGTTCGTTAAAGCATATGCTTGGATTATTTTAAAAAGTGAGTCCCTTGCTTCCAGCTCTACTTTTTCAGAACGCATGATTTCAACAGTACTTTCCGAGCTTTCTTTTAATCAGTTATTAGAGTTGTCAACATCCTAGCTGGAATAATCTTCATCCAAACAGATAATTAGCAAAATCAAAAGTAGTATAAATTGGTACCAAATGGGCGCCGTCAAAATTAGTATGTATTGGTACTAAAAGCTCCTATAGAAAAAGGGTTGTTCGGCCAAAATTGAATGGCTTCAAATGTTTCTCGTTCAGTGTTTCTCGTTCTATTACGAATCATTAGACAAAATCCTATCAGCCCGAAGGACGGAATAGCAGCCTACCAGAAATCCTCATTCAAAAAATCGAAAAAAAAATTAGCGTGAAAATCAGTCATTAATGGGCAGTTTAAAAGACGTTTATTAGTAGAGAATTTTGACGCTTTTGATGCTTCTTTTATGATAATAGCCCCAGAAATAGTTTGAGATGTGGTGTCGTTTCAGAGTCCGTCTCCAAGGCCATGTTCAACTGGGGGCGGCTGATGTCGATAATTTTCCTGAAGAGTGTCGATAACTTTCTCGAGTGGCTCTTCTCTCTGTCCAAAGACTACCGCTACGTGGCTTACATACTGAAAAGTGAACGAAAGAGAACAAGAGAGAAATCTGTGCTGGTAAGAAATAGCTAGTCGTAAAATTATAAGTAATAGTCAAAAATGTATTTAGCCAAAAAGATCTAGGGGTGAATAATAAAAAAAGAAACCCTTGAATAGCACAACGACCTCGAAATTTAAAAAAAAACATTCGTGCTGTATAAATAATTCGGAGGTTTATTTAGGAATAGATTCTTACATTCACATCTCATTCCAAAAAAGCCTTTCCAAATAATCTTTTAACGTAATCAACCCGTAATAAAACAAGGATAGCCGGTTACTGTGCAAATAGCACAGAATGTTCCGACCATAAGTTTAAAAAATACAGTTTTTGTTTCAAGTTTATGTCGTTTTTTCATGTGGTGTGATAGTAACATCTGAACTAAGTTTTCTATTTTGCGGATTTTCGAAGTTTTTGATTCCCAAAAGGCAGCGAAAAATTTCAAAACCCACATTTACTCGAGTAAAACTAAGTTTTTACGGGTTAGATTAAGCTTAAATATGTTATTTTAAGCCGGCAAGCCTTATTTTGACAAACCATATTAAATCAAAATTAGACCAAAAACTAAAAATTTCAAACCGGTTTTTCTCAACACTGGGAAAATGTTTCAAAATTTTATAAATTCATTTGAAACACGACCAAAAGGGCTTCAATATGATGTATTACTCGATCCATTCCGATGATTATTTGTGGTACCTGATTTTGCGTGGAAAACAACAAAACTAAAACACTCCCGAATACAAAGTTCCTCAACATTTTTCAAATGGTCTGATCAACAAAACTGCTTGGGTTTCAGGCCAAAGCCTTGAATTTTGCGGCTTCCCTTCATCTTTGATCATCCCAAGATGGATGATCAACGGCTTGCCTCTATCGTAATCGTTGATAATTCTAAATTTTATCCCCTCCTCCCCACACGAACTATGAAAAATACCAAGTGGTATGTTTTGCTTGGGATAAGTGTGGTAAAGTAAAATTAAGAGAATTAAGTACAATTTGTCAAAAACGTTTTAAAAAAATTGAAATTTGACTGAATAAAAAAACACCCCAAGCATGAATATTCCGCAATTTTTTTTTGAATTTCAGATAAATAAGCCTGCTCGTATAACTATGGGCAAAATCATCAGTATAAAACTATGAATAATCCGTCTGCTCCTGAAAATTGAAAAAAAAAGTTTTTGATTTGAAACATTGATAAAATTGAGATAAATTGGTAAAAATAATAATTACCTCATTCCAAACTGAATTGACGCCAGCAATTGGGTTTCAATTTTTTTTCAAAACTTTTTTTCGTTTGTCCTCAATTTTCTATTAAAAAAAACAAGGGGATATCTTTAGTGCCTTTTATCAATTTGCTGAAACCAAATTGCTGGCCTCAATTCAGTTTGGAATGCTTCAGGTTGCAGCTTACGCGTGTTTTACGGTCAGAACGCAGTTTATTTTGCGTTATTCATACTGAATTAGCCTAATTAGAAACTTTCAAAGACCCATAACTTTACAGCAAGACTGCTGGTATATCAGGTAAAAGGCCTGAATGATCCAACTATGCACCCTAATCTCTATCGAATAGTTTTTGGGAAAAAAAATTGAAATTCTTTAAGTTTCGGACAATATCAAAGATCAAGTGTTGAAGTTTGAGTCGTCCGAAATTGATACGATCAATTAGCTATAGCCTCAATTCAATTTGGAACGATTTTGTTGAGTTGAAACCCAATTGCTGGCCTCAATTCAGTTTGGAATGCTTCAGGCTGCAGCTTACGCGTGTTTTACTGTAAGAACGCAATTTATTTTGCGTTATCTATACTGAATTGGCCTAATTAGAAATTTTCAAACACCCATAATTTTACAACAAGACTGCTTGTATATCAGGGAAAAGGCCACATATGTGAAAAAGCCACAATTAATCTCTATCGAATACTTTTTGTGAAAAAAATACTGAAAATCTATAAGTTTTGGACAATATCAAAGATCAGGTGTTTAAATTTGAGTCGTACGAAATTAACACGATCGATTAGCTATAGCCTCAATTCAATTTGGAATAATTTTAGTGAGCGGGATAATTTGCAACGCATAAATTATTTGAACCGCACATAAATTTGTCTAGAGCATGGCCAAATTGGCAATTTTCAAACTCCCAGAGCTTTACAAAAAATGATCGCAGATAAATTATCTTTTTACATTTGTTTTCAAGGAGTCGAAATCTCCAGCGGGATACAAAAAATTTTTTAATGGAAACTTTTATTTCGATCGCCGAAAAATGAATGAATAAAAAAACCACACCGATCATAAATATTCCGTTTTTGTTTTCGAATATCGAAACAACCAGTCCTGAATGTTGCGACTACTCGTTAATTGGTCTCGAACTATGAATTTTAGGCTGATAATATCATGTTTTAAGTAAAAACAGTTAAGTCGTATAAGAAGTTGACGAGACTGCTCGTATCAGGGCGAAGCCATGCATGTTCCGAGTGCCTTTTTAGGCATATGGAGCAGTGTTCGCATAAAATAAATATGGAGCAGTGTTCGCATTCTTTTGGAAGCCCTCGCCGTCAAGAATATACAGTGGCTGGTCTTTTTGATCAGTGATTCAAATAAAACAAGTCTGCTCATATCAGGGCGAAACCCTGAATGTTCCTACTGCCTTTTAAGATCTATGGAGCAGTAGTAACCTGAAAAAAATTAAAAGTAAATAAGAACAAAAATGATTTTTTTTTAATTTGATTTTTTTTTAAATCATTCCCCCCACACGCCATATTAAGTACAACATGATAGATTTCGCTCCTAGTAACAAAACAATTACGGCGAATAAGCTTCCTTCAACCAATTTGAAAGATTTATTAGACTGATTTAATTTCTGCTTACGCGTTAACCGCGCGAAATATATCGCGCGTTAATTGTCCCGAAATGCGATCCTTAAAGCCCCATAATTTTACGAAAAATGATCACATGTAAAATATCTTTTCAAATTCAGGCTCAGGACAACAATACCTTTCGAATGATATTTAAAAAATCCGTCAAAAGTTGCTACTTAAAAAGTTGAAATTTGCATGAAGAAAAAAACCACCCCGAGCACAAATATTCCGTTACTTTCGTTACGAAAATCAGAACAACAATTCATTTGAGACTTCCATTCATGCTACTTTTGTACAATGAGAAATTGGGTTTTGCCACTTTAATGATGCTTTGCTTTCACTTAACCAAACAGAAATTGTATGTTTTTTCTCACCTGCAAAACCTTGACCTGCTGAGTTTCATTTGTGCCGATTAGGAATTTTTTTCAGACGATAAAGTTTTAGTTTTTGGTAAAGTTCGGTTGCGCCTATTTTTTTCCGGCCACGAAAGTCTTAACTTGCTCCACTTCAGAGGACCTGGTTTCATCTCAGCCGCGAAAGCCAAAACTTGCAGAGTTTGGGTCGTGTCGGTTTTTTCTCAGCCACGAAAAACATGACACAAGCTAAATTTTGGTCTCGCTGCTCCATAATGATGTTTAGTTGCACCGGTTTGAACGTAGCATTTTCTTTGCGTTGTTCACTTTTCGTTAATTTTTTGGATCGCGCCAGTCGCGACAATTTTTTAATGTCACGCCGATCGAAACAATTTTTCTTGTGTCGCGCCGGTTGTGCAAATTTTTGTTGCGCTTGTAGCAACACTTAAGTAGCGGATTTTGAGCCTGGTACTTGCCCGTAGGCTATGTTTTGGCTTTAGCTTGCTTTTTGTGCACAAACGCATAAACATACCAAAAAAAAAGAGAAACAAGTTGAGTAATTTAAAAAATTTAAGAACGACAGATGAAATAAAAACTAGAAAGATAAAAATTTTTTGAGACACATGTTTTCTGTTATAGAGACGGGAACGTGTGAATTGCCGACAGATGCGGCTGGCCTATTTATGGACTGTTTCTGTTTTGCCACTATTCTGACCCAGAGGAAAATATTCCAGAGCAGCTACTTCCACTACGTATATCTGGAGCTCAGAGAACAGACTCTACAAGCATCCAGGTTGGTCGCTCTAATGAAGAAGAAACAGTAATCAGAATAATGTAATGTGTCGACTTTGAAAGTGTTTCGAACGATATTTCGTAACGATGTTCAAATCTCTATTAGATCGTAATTTTCATTTTTTTCGAATTTTTTCTGTGGAGCAAAATAATTGTCGATTGAGTCATATCTTCAAAGACATCGAGGTGTCAAAGTTTTGTGTACTATATGGTGTACTATATTTTCTAACATGGTCAGAATTTTCTTTAATTACATGTCTCACAATTTAAGGATAAGAGGATGTGTAGTGTTTATTTAACCATCGCTCGTAGGAAACTTCTAGACATTTTTTGTCCTAGGGGCGCATATCTAATCAACTCTAACCTGAGGAAAGAGATCAAGAGACGCCATGAGGAGGAGCAGCAGACTGTGGACAAGATCCGAAGGTCCATGACCAAAATTAGACACAGACAAAGGACCACAGCCGGCCACAGTGGGGTACAGTCACAGCTAGCCAGTCAGCAATGGGTCCCAGAGACACACAACCAAGGTCAGCTCATGATATTGAGCTCTTTTAAGTTCACCAATCAATGATCTAATGTGAAGCTTAATTAAAAGCATTAACTGAAATATTGCTCTCTTTCAAGAGCTCACCTCGCAAATTGCAACAACGTCGAGGAAATGTGGTTTTAACTGAAGGCGTTTTAAAAAATAACCGGGTTTGGATGATGAACAGTACATGTTGAAGTTAACAGTTTGCACGTCTCTTAAAGCATCTATATCGTTGCTGATAGCAAGGTTTCGCGTTTGATCTCCGCAAGGAAGGCACGTTTTATTGTTATGGTGGAAATTATCAAAAGTTATTTAGTAAAATAGTTCTCTTTTGCAGCCATCTTCACTGGCTACTTGCAGTTTGACGGACGCACTGGCAACGAGAGCGACTCAGACAGCGACTTGGACGAGTACTTCGATGCCGCACAGGCAGACGCCAAGCAAGCACCAAGTGCACTAGACGTAAGATAGTAAAAGCTCCCGGGTGCACCGGTAAATAAGTCGACATGACATTAAGACGACAAATGAGAGCTATGACATGTAAACTGAACTGTTCGAATTGAAGCAATTTGTATATCTCAGAAGTACACTTGAAGAGTTTGCGTGTGCTGTCGCCTTAAAACCCCACGAACGGTTGTTGTCATCTTAACATTTGTCGGACAGCAAGCTCCCGTTTTCTAGAGTAAGCCAGAAGTTATTAACCCGTGAATAACCAAATAGAACCTGGTCCATTTTGCAGCATGGTGATTTTAATCTCACACTTATGGCGCTTTTTTCATCTTGACTCAAGTTTAATTATTTTTTCGAGTATTTTGCTCTGGATTCAGCGAAACTTAAAAGCTCTTGGACGAAGTTATCATCCTCCCCCCCCCCCCCCCCCCCAAAGTTGTTTGGGGGGGGGGGGGGGTATTATCTTGGTTCTAAGTTAGGAATTTTCAGCCAATCAGAATCGAGCATTTTACTACATGTAGCGCTTAGCAAATTTAATGCGAATTAAATGCTGGGGTGGAAGATATTAACTTGGTCTATCTGGGGGAGGATGTTAACTTGGTCCAAGCTCTTTTTCAGAAACACTATTCAGATAGTGCTGGTAGCAATACCGTGTTTTGAAGAGCTTCTTTTGTTTCAGTATGCCTATGGAGCCTTGGTTGCTGGAGCAGAAACAGCATTAAAGCGACATTCTCGCCAGTCATCCACCGATAGCCAGTTCTTCGGTTAGACCTGTATATTTACTCTGCTATCTTGTTTAAAATTATGGGGAGTTTTAGAAAAAGCCATATTCAATTTGGTTATAATGCTTATTCTCAATTGACAATTCTTCCAGTAAGTGTGAACGATACACGAAAACTAAAATGAATGCAGAAATCACCGAAATCAAAGTCCATGTGATAGTCGAAATGTCTTTTGAAGTTTCAAGAGAGCTCAACATTTCTTAGGTTCTGTGATCAACTCTATGAACGGGCTCTCGAATAGCGGAGGCGTGGGGAGTTCCAGGAAGCACCGGAAGAGTAGAAGCAGCATGGTCGGCAGCAGACCTAGTTCATTCCACAGCATGTCTAGGGATCCAACAGTCGAAGACTTTTCTCAGCTCCAAGGTCCTCGATCTCAAAATTAACATCGAAGTTGTTGGGTTATCTAAAGAGTTTCGATTTCCAGCATTAACTATAAAACTAAACGAGAAAAAGGCAACCGAAGTAGCTTTCTGAGTGTTAAATTACTTCAGATCAAAAAATATTATATTAAAATAAGGTTTTAAACATTGTCGATGATGAGATATTCACAAAATTGATCATTTGTTTTCAGATGAACTGAAAAACAAAGCAGAAGGTTTAATGAGCCGACAAGCTGCACACTCTCATTCATTCGCACGAAGGTCAACCAGGCCGATGAGTCTCAACATTAGAAATTCCGCCACGGCAGAAGACATGATTTTGGAGGACCGAGAGAGTCCCACCTCGGATTACAACACGTGTTTCGACGAGGGGGAGGCATTGCATCGGGGAATTTCAGCGTCGACTACTTTTCCCACTACTATCTTGGAGAGTGACGAATTGGCAGCGGCAGATGAAGGTTAGTGTATTTCAAAGTTTCGTCTATTTCTTTTTTCGAAATCCAGTTCCATAGTTCTGCTTAACAGTATTGTTTGGTTGTTTTGATAAAATAAGCACAAAAAAAATTGATTTTTATCGTTTTTATTTCCGTAGGTATTTTAATTGAATTATTTGTCAAATATGATGATTTTTACCCCTCGCTGCTCATTTTCATTATCAGCCACTTTAAACATGTTAAATTTCAAGTCAATATTTTTAGGCGATTTAAACTAAATATTTTACCAGCATTTACTTTATTGCTTGCAATGACTTTAAAAAAATGGCTGGCGTTAATTTGACATGTAAAACTGGAGTTGCGATGACTTTTGCATCATTTGCAGCAATCATACTAGATGACTATGATGTGATTGAGTCTCCCAGCGCTAACAAATTCACTAATAATCAGTATCAGTTCAGGAGAACCGGTGAGTCATCGTATGTTGTATCATCGGAGTAATCAGTGGATCCCAAAATATAACCTATAGGTTATGTGTCATAACCTGTGTCAAAATATAACTAGTCATAACCAGCTTACCCACTTCATAATCATAATCGAGTCACCTGCAAATCATAATCGTGTCACCCGCTTGATCAATTCCGCCTCCAGTGCTTACAGAATGCGCTTCTACTAAACATCAGCCGTTGGCTGCATCATCTCAGACTAAAACAGAGCTTCATATAAGTTCCACTTTAACTAACCAACAGTCTAATTATTTTTCAAGTTAAGTTGAACTAACGAGGCAGTCAAGTTCGTTAAAGCATATGCTTGGATTATTTTAAAAAGTGAGTCCCTTGCTTCCAGCTCTACTTTTTCAGAACGCATGATTTCAACAGTACTTTCCGAGCTTTCTTTTAATCAGTTATTAGAGTTGTCAACATCCTAGCTGGAATAATCTTCATCCAAACAGATAATTAGCAAAATCAAAAGTAGTATAAATTGGTACCAAATGGGCGCCGTCAAAATTAGTATGTATTGGTACTAAAAGCTCCTATAGAAAAAGGGTTGTTCGGCCAAAATTGAATGGCTTCAAATGTTTCTCGTTCAGTGTTTCTCGTTCTATTACGAATCATTAGACAAAATCCTATCAGCCCGAAGGACGGAATAGCAGCCTACCAGAAATCCTCATTCAAAAAATCGAAAAAAAAATTAGCGTGAAAATCAGTCATTAATGGGCAGTTTAAAAGACGTTTATTAGTAGAGAATTTTGACGCTTTTGATGCTTCTTTTATGATAATAGCCCCAGAAATAGTTTGAGATGTGGTGTCGTTTCAGAGTCCGTCTCCAAGGCCATGTTCAACTGGGGGCGGCTGATGTCGATAATTTTCCTGAAGAGTGTCGATAACTTTCTCGAGTGGCTCTTCTCTCTGTCCAAAGACTACCGCTACGTGGCTTACATACTGAAAAGTGAACGAAAGAGAACAAGAGAGAAATCTGTGCTGGTAAGAAATAGCTAGTCGTAAAATTATAAGTAATAGTCAAAAATGTATTTAGCCAAAAAGATCTAGGGGTGAATAATAAAAAAAGAAACCCTTGAATAGCACAACGACCTCGAAATTTAAAAAAAAACATTCGTGCTGTATAAATAATTCGGAGGTTTATTTAGGAATAGATTCTTACATTCACATCTCATTCCAAAAAAGCCTTTCCAAATAATCTTTTAACGTAATCAACCCGTAATAAAACAAGGATAGCCGGTTACTGTGCAAATAGCACAGAATGTTCCGACCATAAGTTTAAAAAATACAGTTTTTGTTTCAAGTTTATGTCGTTTTTTCATGTGGTGTGATAGTAACATCTGAACTAAGTTTTCTATTTTGCGGATTTTCGAAGTTTTTGATTCCCAAAAGGCAGCGAAAAATTTCAAAACCCACATTTACTCGAGTAAAACTAAGTTTTTACGGGTTAGATTAAGCTTAAATATGTTATTTTAAGCCGGCAAGCCTTATTTTGACAAACCATATTAAATCAAAATTAGACCAAAAACTAAAAATTTCAAACCGGTTTTTCTCAACACTGGGAAAATGTTTCAAAATTTTATAAATTCATTTGAAACACGACCAAAAGGGCTTCAATATGATGTATTACTCGATCCATTCCGATGATTATTTGTGGTACCTGATTTTGCGTGGAAAACAACAAAACTAAAACACTCCCGAATACAAAGTTCCTCAACATTTTTCAAATGGTCTGATCAACAAAACTGCTTGGGTTTCAGGCCAAAGCCTTGAATTTTGCGGCTTCCCTTCATCTTTGATCATCCCAAGATGGATGATCAACGGCTTGCCTCTATCGTAATCGTTGATAATTCTAAATTTTATCCCCTCCTCCCCACACGAACTATGAAAAATACCAAGTGGTATGTTTTGCTTGGGATAAGTGTGGTAAAGTAAAATTAAGAGAATTAAGTACAATTTGTCAAAAACGTTTTAAAAAAATTGAAATTTGACTGAATAAAAAAACACCCCAAGCATGAATATTCCGCAATTTTTTTTTGAATTTCAGATAAATAAGCCTGCTCGTATAACTATGGGCAAAATCATCAGTATAAAACTATGAATAATCCGTCTGCTCCTGAAAATTGAAAAAAAAAGTTTTTGATTTGAAACATTGATAAAATTGAGATAAATTGGTAAAAATAATAATTACCTCATTCCAAACTGAATTGACGCCAGCAATTGGGTTTCAATTTTTTTTCAAAACTTTTTTTCGTTTGTCCTCAATTTTCTATTAAAAAAAACAAGGGGATATCTTTAGTGCCTTTTATCAATTTGCTGAAACCAAATTGCTGGCCTCAATTCAGTTTGGAATGCTTCAGGTTGCAGCTTACGCGTGTTTTACGGTCAGAACGCAGTTTATTTTGCGTTATTCATACTGAATTAGCCTAATTAGAAACTTTCAAAGACCCATAACTTTACAGCAAGACTGCTGGTATATCAGGTAAAAGGCCTGAATGATCCAACTATGCACCCTAATCTCTATCGAATAGTTTTTGGGAAAAAAAATTGAAATTCTTTAAGTTTCGGACAATATCAAAGATCAAGTGTTGAAGTTTGAGTCGTCCGAAATTGATACGATCAATTAGCTATAGCCTCAATTCAATTTGGAACGATTTTGTTGAGTTGAAACCCAATTGCTGGCCTCAATTCAGTTTGGAATGCTTCAGGCTGCAGCTTACGCGTGTTTTACTGTAAGAACGCAATTTATTTTGCGTTATCTATACTGAATTGGCCTAATTAGAAATTTTCAAACACCCATAATTTTACAACAAGACTGCTTGTATATCAGGGAAAAGGCCACATATGTGAAAAAGCCACAATTAATCTCTATCGAATACTTTTTGTGAAAAAAATACTGAAAATCTATAAGTTTTGGACAATATCAAAGATCAGGTGTTTAAATTTGAGTCGTACGAAATTAACACGATCGATTAGCTATAGCCTCAATTCAATTTGGAATAATTTTAGTGAGCGGGATAATTTGCAACGCATAAATTATTTGAACCGCACATAAATTTGTCTAGAGCATGGCCAAATTGGCAATTTTCAAACTCCCAGAGCTTTACAAAAAATGATCGCAGATAAATTATCTTTTTACATTTGTTTTCAAGGAGTCGAAATCTCCAGCGGGATACAAAAAATTTTTTAATGGAAACTTTTATTTCGATCGCCGAAAAATGAATGAATAAAAAAACCACACCGATCATAAATATTCCGTTTTTGTTTTCGAATATCGAAACAACCAGTCCTGAATGTTGCGACTACTCGTTAATTGGTCTCGAACTATGAATTTTAGGCTGATAATATCATGTTTTAAGTAAAAACAGTTAAGTCGTATAAGAAGTTGACGAGACTGCTCGTATCAGGGCGAAGCCATGCATGTTCCGAGTGCCTTTTTAGGCATATGGAGCAGTGTTCGCATAAAATAAATATGGAGCAGTGTTCGCATTCTTTTGGAAGCCCTCGCCGTCAAGAATATACAGTGGCTGGTCTTTTTGATCAGTGATTCAAATAAAACAAGTCTGCTCATATCAGGGCGAAACCCTGAATGTTCCTACTGCCTTTTAAGATCTATGGAGCAGTAGTAACCTGAAAAAAATTAAAAGTAAATAAGAACAAAAATGATTTTTTTTTAATTTGATTTTTTTTTAAATCATTCCCCCCACACGCCATATTAAGTACAACATGATAGATTTCGCTCCTAGTAACAAAACAATTACGGCGAATAAGCTTCCTTCAACCAATTTGAAAGATTTATTAGACTGATTTAATTTCTGCTTACGCGTTAACCGCGCGAAATATATCGCGCGTTAATTGTCCCGAAATGCGATCCTTAAAGCCCCATAATTTTACGAAAAATGATCACATGTAAAATATCTTTTCAAATTCAGGCTCAGGACAACAATACCTTTCGAATGATATTTAAAAAATCCGTCAAAAGTTGCTACTTAAAAAGTTGAAATTTGCATGAAGAAAAAAACCACCCCGAGCACAAATATTCCGTTACTTTCGTTACGAAAATCAGAACAACAATTCATTTGAGACTTCCATTCATGCTACTTTTGTACAATGAGAAATTGGGTTTTGCCACTTTAATGATGCTTTGCTTTCACTTAACCAAACAGAAATTGTGTGATACTCCCAATATAATCCCGTTGATCGAATCTTAAGTTCATCAGCGCGAATTTAGTTGTTGTTTACCTTCAAATTTGTAAATTGGATTTTGAGAGCCCTTTTTGGTGATTGATTGTGTTATTAAATTGTGGGGCCTGTTGAATTGATTTGGGATTTTAAAGGATGGGCGGTACTGTAATAAAGTAATTTTTGGCTTCAATTTTTTTTATCTTGGGTTCATATGGCTAGAAGGGTACTGTCCTGGCATCGAATCGAACACCAGTTGTCGCTTGGAGCTGTTAAAAGCTATTTCCTGATGTTCAAGATCGTGAAACTTAGGTAATTAGTTATCACCGGAAAATGTTCGTTTTAAATTAAGGTAAGCTGATTATTCAATGACGAAAAGGTGATAATTTAAATTAAAGTTTGAGCAATGTTAACAGAAATATGATTTTGAACAAATATTACTTAATTTCATTCAATTTTTATCCGTTTTTCAGCATTCTTTGAGTGTTGGGCAGTCACCCCAGTCGCCGATGGACACGCGAGAGAGCACAGCGTCCTCGGGACGACAGAAATTGATGGGCAACCACTTGATAGTTCCCCAGTTGAGTAGTGCAGCCCAATATTCCGACTCCATTCCTGTCTCAGTGTTTGACTCTCTCAACCTGTCAAAGGGTGCTACCAGTAGGAGGGGACTGTACATGACTTTCAGAGCGAGCAACGAGCCTATGCAATCAGACACGTGAGTGTAACAGCCCGTTATCTTCTGTAACTAGCCAAAAACGAAGAAAAAAAACTGAGATAAAAAATGGGTGTCTATGCCTCGACAAAGTGTCTCAAAAAGCCGATGGTGCCAAAAAGGAGATATTTATTATAACTAATGCAACTCACAAACAATTTCAAATTGATTATAAAAATGTTTCCGCGGTGTAAATTTTTGACTTTTCGATTAGCTGGGTTTTTATCGCTGCAGTTTATACTGAATTTTTGTAATGCTTGATTACTGAACAAATTTATTTGACAGTTTTTTTCATCGGAACTCAGATTGCATCTCATTTATTTTGTCCACTTCAGCGCGGAGGAGTTCTCCGAGTTTGACCTTGGGCGCAATCTTCAGGGCGGAAGTAGGGTGAAGAAATTGCTGTTTGCCTGCTACTATGCCACTATAGCACACAGTGAACTCATCTGCTACTTCATCATGGTCCTCAACCAACTCATGTCCGCATCCATCCTCGCAATGCCTCTGCCTATCATGGTGTTCCTCTGGGCCATGCTATCTGTACCCAGACCAACCAAGAGGTTCTGGGTGTCAGCTATCACTTACACAGAGGTTGGTCGACAAAACCAATTCTTGTTATTTCTACTTTTAAAGGTTTTTCATAGTTGTCTAAACAGGCTTTTGATATAAATAAGCGCTGAAAAATGATGTTTTACAATCACCAATGAGTTTTATGACCGGATGCTATTCTTGAGCTTTATTTATTCATCCACACGGCAAAAAAAATTACATGTTTTTTTACAGATAAGTATGTTGAATTTCTGATGTGCCCTTCGATAGTACGTGATTCGGTTTTTGGGGCGTTTCATTTTGCTGAGAAGCATTGCCTCACCCTGGTCCCATAATGTCAGAACATGGTGGACCTCGAACCTTCATCCTGTGGTCTTAAGGCGCTTAGAAAAAAAAAGCCAGCTGAACGCATATTACTTTGTTTCTTTTCAGCTGGTGGTGGTGATCAAGTACCTGTTCCAGTTCCAGTTCTACTCTTGGAATAGAGAGGAAGTGGCCCTGGCTAACCTGGAAGATCCCTTCTGGTGGCCACGCATTCTTGGCATAGAGAAGAAACACAACTACGCCCATTGTGACCTCGCCCTCCTTCTTGCACTCTTCTTCCACAGATCAATTCTCAAGGTCAAACAAGTTTGCTTTCAATCACTGAGGCACTTTCAATATGCACTTTTCACATAAATTCATTTGGTTTCAATGAGTTTGCAAGTTTTCAATAAGGTTTTAATGATTTTGCATTCTGCAAGTAAAAAGCGTCCAGAATATTAATGCTTCATAGAACCTTACTTTATTGGTTTTACTTTTATTTCAAATTTAAAGGCGTTTTTTTAAAAAAATGTGTATTTCAAGCATAATTCAATTTATACTTCAATTTGTGAAAAAGGTATTTTGATTTGAAAATTGTCTCTAAGTTTCCATCAGTTTTTCCATTATTTTGATTTTTTCGTTTTCAGATGCACGGGCTATGGCGGGACGAGAACAGTCCTCTAAATTCCAAAACTGAAGCATCAGATCCAGCACAAAAACCACCAGCCGTGCTTCCTTCCAAAGTATCCGGGCCAGCGGACCCGTCGCCCAGACAAAACTCTTCCATAGATGCTCGCAACTTCCCAAACCTACCCAAATTCTCGCTTGCCAATTTCCACTACGGTGGATCAGCCCAAGGCGTGAACAGGTCAACAACGGGCACTGTCTTGGGTGAACTGGCACCGGGGTCTAGTTTGATGCGGAAAAAAAGTCCACTGGACTTCAATTTGAGGCGCATCAGACAATGTGAGCTTCAACTCCAGCTTAATACTTTATATTTTTGATATTTCTCCTAACATCTGTTACATGAAAATGCCTTATGCAGGAACAAATTTTGGTTCAAATTTTCAAATTTTTTAAAACCTACACAATGAGTCGCTTCGATTTTTATAGATCGAGTTTGATTAACAATGTTTTATTCTGAAAATACCAACATTGCTTATTTAGTTTTTGGTAAGTAATAGTTGAATTTAGATTCAAGCTTTTTTCAATGTTGTTAAGAAATTAACCAGTAAAATGGCTGAATAGATGTAGTTAGTCTTGTAAAAGAAGATGGTATATAATTAAAATATGTTAACTTGGGTTGCATTAGAGAAGTGATGATGACTGAAATGTCCAGTTTCATCAATGGCAGTAAATTGACCACGATTGGCATTTGTTAAGATGATTCTTGACATATTTCATCTTCAAGTTTTCGGAGCATGTAAATTCTCTTTTTTGCTTCGCTTATAGCCGAAAGTTCGGTAAACATAGTTCTAAATCATTTGAAGTAGTTCAGTAAGTCCTTATCACGAATATTTTTAGATAAATTAAATTAAATATTATGTTCTCTTTGATTGAATGGGCATCGCGTTTTGAGGGCATCAAATTAAATGGGTTATCAACCAAAAATAATGAAGTTAAAAAACCCCTACCTATGTTTGAAATGATACATTCGATACAATTTGGTGCAAAAAATAATAGATTAGGATTACTACGAACTGTTCAGCTCTTTAGGGGGTCCCGCTGTTGTGTCCCTACATGCTGCAGACCTACGTGAATAATTTTTTTGGTCTGAGAATTGTGTCCGTTGGTCTCAGTTATTTCATCTATTGAGTTCTTCGATTTTGATTGGTTGGTGTTTGCAGCACATTCGCAGCCGGACTCATTCCAGAGTGCGATAGACCACTCGGATGTGTCTCTGAATGGCTCCTCCTCGTTCCAAACGGGAACTTGCTTCGACCACCCCAGTCTAGACGAGCTCTCCACCCCTCCTCCCCTACCACACCCTCTATCTCTAGCTGTGCCTGTTTCAGCACAACTCAATTCTACTACTACTACTCAACTTGCAACAGGTGTGCAATTTGGCTGCATGTCATCTCATCCTATTTATTATAACAACCAATGCCAAAAAAAAAACGTTAAGCCAAAGTATATGAAATGTAATGTCCAAAATAATCTAAAATAACTAAGTACCAGACAAATTAAGGCAAAGGTAGCTGGAAAAGATCCCCAGTCTATTAAAAAAACATTAGTCCCCACACTTTGATTTTATTATTATGGGACGGGCTATAAAAACTGGAGTGCTATAATGGAAAGCATTGCTTCTCGTGGTAGGTCCTACAGACACTGCGGGAAGTTGCGACGTGTTCCCTGCTGCAGATGAAGATGCAGAGGAGAGGGATGAGCTGGCCAGTATTAACAATGTGGCCAAGAGTAGCAACCTCTTTCCAGTCCATGACAGACCCATAGTCCACGACAGACATTCGCGGAGAGAGAGCTCCTCCTCAAACATACGCGACGACCGACATTCCCACGGTAAGCAAATACGCATTTTCAAAAAAAGGTTCGACGTTTTCATCCGCCTATTGAAAACAATAAATTGATTTTCCTGGCTCTTCCAAATAACATTGAAGAACTAATTTGGTGCATTTTATCCCGCAGGCCAATGCTTGATAAAGTGTCGAAAATATTTTAACCATAATATTTTATGGTCAAAAGATTTTAAGCATGAAAAGCTTTTTTTTTCAAAGCGCGCTCTTTTGCAATCTTGGCAACAAAGTCGCCTTCAGAAAAATTTTAGGATTGGTTTGCCAAAACTGTAAGTTGTAAAATAGTACAAAAGAGGGTGGTGAAAAAAGTATCGCCTCTTTCACTGCGCGATAAATCAGTACCCGGCAGGGAGATTTTTTTTGAAGGCTCCTTCTTTTAATTCAATCTAAAAACGTTTAGCTCAGCATATTTTGACACAATTAAACTTTCATTGGTGGAATTATTTATAGAAAACATGGCATTCTTCGATTGTGAGTATACCAACTTGGTGATAGGTCAGTATATCCATGTACCAGTAAATTGAAAATGGGTTCTCCTGATCACTAAACCACAAATCCGACAATCCCGTGTCAGTCATTTTGATAATTACCAGGTAAACAAGAAATTTTTTTGAAAATTTCTTTAATAGATTCAAAAACTGAAACAAAAATTGAAATAATATTATAGTTATTCAAAAGATTCAAAAAATTAACACAGGTAGCCGGTTACTGTAATACTGTGCAAGTAGCACAGAATGTTCCGATCATAGTCTTGAAAAACGCAAATTTTTTTCTTTCAAATAAAAGGACCTGGACAAAAACTACAACTTTGGCATATTCGACAGTCATATTAACAAGTTTTCGAAGAAAAAATACTAGAAAAACGCAAAAAAAAAACAAAAAGGTTTTTTTTCTTTTGCTAAAATTTTCAAATTTTTGATTTTCATACTCTTATAGCACCCTCGTAGAGGGCGTGGTACTCCAAAAACTAATTATACTCGAGTAAAACTAAATTATACATAAATAATTTTTGGTAAACTGACTAATTTAAGCTTAAATAAGCATGCTCGCTCGCTTTATTTGCTTGAAATTAGACAAAAAATCGAAAATTTTAAACCTGTTTTTCTCCACACTGGAAAAAGATTTTTGAATTTTTAAAATTCAATCGAATTTTGGTTGAAAGAGCTTTCTTATGAAATATCTCTCAATTCATTTCGATGATTATTTGGGGTAGCTGTTTTTGCGTGGAAAACAACAATAAATTTGAAAAACGATAACTAAAACACACTCGAATACGAAGTTCCTCCACATTTTTCAATTGGTTATAAAAATATTGCCGTGAAAGGACTATTACAGAAATTTTTCAATAAAAATTCTGTTAATTATTTTTTTAATTTACTGGTGTGGATCCGAGGGGATTAATATGAATTTGAACACGTTTACTCTAGCCAGCAGCGTAGTGTATTGGTACCAGCCTTTTTTTCTAAACTAACTCGCAAAAAAATAATTATCAAAAGTGGTCTTTTATTTGGTGGCAGTGCTATAATCACGATCTGTAGTATTGGAAATTTCATAGCATCTCTTCTCTGCGTTATTTTTGGCTAGTGTTTGTGATGTATTAAGCGTCCATGGCCAAGTTGTTAGTGCGTGACACTGAAAATATATAGGTTGCACTAGGTCGCAGATCGAACATAAGATCTAGCCGAATTTTTACTAACTCGAGGCTTATTTCCTTTTTTTGTTGCAATTTATAGAGCTGCCTTTTGCCGCTGTTTTCTGCTTCGTTTGTGGTTAGTGTTAGTGTTTTATTAACAATCCGTGGCTCAATAGTTAGTGCGTGGGACTCATAATTTCTAGATCGTAGATCAAATCCGAGACGTAGTAGAGTTTGTTTTAATTCAAGGCTTATTTTTACTTTTTACTGCACTTTATAGAGCTGCTTTTTGTCGTGTTTTTGCTAGTGTTTGTAGAACGAAACTTCGCCTGTGTTAAATTTACTTGAATCAATTTTACCAACAAAAATTTCAATGCACAAGAGCCAAAATTTCTGAAGAAAACGAGCAAATAATTTTGATTGGCGTGGTTATTTTTTAGACAAATAAACTAGCGATTCATGGGAGTTTTTCGTATGATGTGAAAGTTATTGATGCGCAATAATTAAATCTATAAACAAAAACCTTTTTTTGACAATTTTCTTCTAAAGCTATGCAATTTTTGAATTGCCACTTTGCTGAAGTTTGGACAATTAATTGCTACATGCTGATGATTGAAATACCAATAATCAGAAATTGCCGGAATTTTTTTTAAAAAAAATGCTTTTTCAAACTTCCAAGATCAAGTGTCTTTTAATTGGGAATTAGATTTTTTACCCCTAAATGAGTTTTTATTTCCTATAATCCAACTTGCATCTTTTTTGCTTTATAAATAAATTTTAACAAGTGTCATGCTCGTTTCCACTTGGCAAAGAGTAACCTAGTCTCCTGTGCACCTTTAGGTCTGGGATTTGAGTCACGGCCGTACCTTGTTTTTTTCAGCATGTATGAAAATGAAACTTTTTAAAAATGAAAATTAAATTGTCGAATTTTTTTTGTCTGCTCAAGTTTGTGCAGCTTAGCTGCAACAGAACAGGTTTTTTCGCTGCCAGCAATTGTCATTATATTCGCTAAGGTTGTTCATTGAAGTTTCCGGGGGACTTAAACTTTTTCATAAAATCTGATCTTCAGCTCAACTGATGTCTGCTCAGCGGTTGTCGGCTTTCTTTCCGCTTCTTAAGATTTATTCCATTGCAATTTTTTCGAAGGTTTCGCTTGGCATATTTGCATAGAATGAAGTTATCGTGTATACCAGAATTTTGGCAGACATAAGTTTTTTTGCAACATTTTTCATTTTTTTTCGAATTTTTGTGTTTGTGTTGTTTTACTGGTAATGCGAAGCTCCGCTTTGCTTCTGTGTTATACGTGAAATTTATCATTTTTTATTTTTTAAGAATTAATGTTAATGTTTTTAGTATTTTTGAGCTAAAAGTTATCCAATAGTCGATAAATGGAATTCAAAAATTGGCAGCCGAAACGTACAGGATTATGTATAAAAAGTTTTTCTAGATCAAAATAGGACGGGAGGCAAACAGATCCGACCGCAATAAGCTTTGCGTGATAATGTTTGAAAAAAAAAGAAATTTGCAAACATGTGCGTTCAAGGGTAACAGAAGTGCATTGAAGGTAATCAACAAATATTGGTTTCTACGCGGAAGCAAAACTCATCGCTTCATACTTTTGTTCTATTTTTCGAGAGGGTAGGAGCAATCAATAACAAAATATGGTATATCTATTTCGCTGGCTGACAAATTTTTTTTGTTTAGTTCACACAAATAGAGGCATTGCCACAAGTATGAAAAGAAAGTGGTTTTTGATGAAAACTGAAGAACTGTTTTTGGTTTCTTGTTGTTATTTAAGTTTTTAAGCTATACTAGTTGCCTAGACAGTGTCTCGCAAGCTTAAAAAAGCGCCCTTCAAAAACTGCACAACCTTGCTGAATGGAAAGCAAACTGCGCTCTCCAATAAGGAAATTGCAAGTGTTGTAATAAAACCGTGATTGAATTCAGCCTCAAAATTGGATTTTAGTTTTCAGAGTTCTCATTGGAATTGAAAAATAAGCTTTTGATTGAGGTTTCTCAGATCGAAGAAAATTATTAAAGCTTTAAGGCAATCTCTTTTTTTAACTCGAAAAATGAAAAACGTTTTCAAAAAAATTTACAATCATTCTTTTGGTTTCTTCGAGTTGATTAAGGTTTTTCCAGCTGTTTGTTGACTATGTAATAATTTTTTTTGTGGAAAAGGTAATTCCGCACAAGTTAGTTTAATTTAAGCGAACATAAGTAAAGTTGAAGATTTAAAGTTTAAACCATTTGAATCAATTTGTTTTGAACTGCAGTGTTTATAAGGCAAAAAAAATTGTTGGCGCCAAAAGTACAAATAAAATTCTTTAGAAAATTTGTTTCCCGCATTGGTTATCTGATTTGATCAAGTGCTTAATTTACTTTTTACTTTGGCGACCTTGCGAGCCTTAGTATAATAAACAGTACGAACCTTTTTTTTTCTAACCTAACTCGTAATCAAAAGCGTTCATTAGAAAATTTCACTTATTTGGTGGCATTTTTGCTATAATCAAGATCTGTAGCATTGGAAATTTTTAGCATCTGTTCTCTGCTTTATTCGTTCCTAGTGTTTGTGATTGATTACTTGTCCGTTGCTGAGTGGTTAGTGCGTGAGACTCATATTGTCTAGGCAGGAGGTCGAACCGAGACGTAGCCGATTTTCTACTAATAGGCTTATTTCTAATAGGTTTAGTTTTACTTTTCTTATTGCCCTTCATAGAGCAGCTTTTTATCATGTTCTTGCAGCTTTTCTTCTGTGTAACAATACTGAAACCTGAAATATTTGATATAGAATCAAAACATGGTTGATTCAATTGAGGGCAATAGTGCAAGTCATATTCTTTAAAAAATTTATTTTGGTGCATAAATAAATTTGCTTCAAGTCTTGTTAAGCTACTTAGAAATATTGTTCATGTAACCCGGTTCCAGGTGCTCAACTTGTGTTTCGACTTCGAAAACAAAGAACATGCAGTTTTTCGACTGAAATTTTGCGGTCGAAAAGCAGATTTAAATCGAGCGCAAAGTCGTAACATAGCCGAATTTGGTCGAGAAAGCCGAGACATAGGTCGAGCACAGTCTAAGTTATGCAATTTAAGTACTTTTGTATGGGCCAGAGGCAAATTTTTGGGAACTCACTTCTTGTAGATATAGATAGTTAATGGCACTACGCTTCTAAACAAGTGTCAATATACGCTTTGTCGTAAGACAATTTGTGGATATCTTCATTTATCCCCCCTTTTGCAAAGGGGGGAGCCAAGTATTCGTTACTAGGTACAAAATTCACATATGCTAAACCATTGAATTATTTTTACAAGGTGGAATTTATCGTTACTAGGTACCATAGAGGAGAAATAGTGAAAGAGATCCCATTTTGTCTATGTATACCAATTGCAATAAGTTGATTTATTTAACGTTTTTCATTTGTATATGTTCCATATGGGGTATCTGGCGACTCCCGCGAATCTACTAATGCTTTTTAGTGGGACCAACAATTATTTAGATTTATTTCATTATCTTCAGTTGGAAGTTATCTCTGTCGTTTTCATGCTAGATAAGTAATTAAATTCGCAAACTCAAAGTGAATTATATCTATTTATATTAAGCTCCTGAGCATTCACTCTCGGCTTCCGAAGCTAGAGCGAGCAGCAGTCGTGACCAATCACCGCCACTTCCGGAAACGTCCATCAACGAAAGCGACAGATTGCGTAACAATGATGTAACCAACCCGCGTATGTACTGTATAGTGGGTGAAAATGAGTTCTTCAGCGACGCTGACTCAGATGTCAATCTGAAGGAGCCTGGAATGGACATCACTCCCCCCGGGGAATTGAGGGCACCGAAAAGGAGGAAAATCAGTATCGTCAGAAACAGAATTGACAATATGGGGTATGGTTCTTACCGTCTAATTAGACGTGACCTACTAAATGTCGTGGCATTAATATATGCATTTAGTTCTATTTTTGTTCAGAAAAGGGGAATAAAAATGGCCACAAGGAAAAGAAAAAAATTAACGAGTTATATTAGATCTTTATGGGCTCTAATTGTCCTCTATCGAATTTGATCAACCTAATTTGATCTTTGTAGATTTAACGGTCAATTTTTTACCACTAAAATTAATTTAAAAGGTTTATTCCGCTTTCATGCATGCATCAAAGTGTTTCTACAATCAATGTTGTATCAAGTTTAATAGTATTTTTTTCCCATGATTAGAGAAAATTAAATTTTTAGAGCATGGCACTAAGCATTTTTCAAATAGTCCACTGCTGTTTTTGGAAAAAAGTATACAAAAAGTAGTTTTCTTGATCACTTCTTGACAAAAAGTACCCATTGAGTTAGAAGATCTGCTTTATGTGTTGTTTTTGCTATTTCACTAGAATCCAACGTAAACTTGAGGCCACTCGACGGAGGTGAGTAGGTAGCTCCTAGAATAGATCATAGAAATCACGGATCAAGTTAACCCAATGCCCCTCTCCCCTCCCCCAAATAACTGAATGGCTTTAGGCGATTCTGATTGACATGAAAATTGACCCAGAGATTAGTAGTTAGACTAATCAATACCACCCCTCCCCCTGTTTTCAGTGCATTTAAGTAGGAAAAGGGGGAGGTGTTCGCTTGATCTGAACTCACAACGACTTGCAGCTTCACTTGGCTGTTTGCTCACCTGGTTTGTTCAAAAGAATGCTTACAATAATTTTCATCATACGTTTATTATAACCGTATTTAGCTGTTTGAATGTAAGGAATTCTCAAAGCCAGTTTCTCACGAGGAGTTTATTACAGAAACTTACAGATAGTTGATTTGTTCCCCTTACCATGGCCATGATAGTATCTGAGGACGAGCTATCACTCTAGCTTCAGGTCCACCATAAACAAAGTCATTAGCACCATGACGTCACGTGAAAAAAAAACTGGACGCAAAAAGACGCGGAACTAATCTCCAGTAATCGCGGAAGTAATCTCCGCGTTTGGAACAACAAGAGTCTTCGGTTCAAGCCGGTTCCCTGTTCTATTTTGCAAAGATAACAAGTTCCACTTTGAAAAAATATAGCTGTTAAACGCGTGTGGTTGCTTATATTATATCGCCTTAGTTACTTCAGTACTAAATTTTCCAAATATTGCAATAAATCATAGTAGTTGAGTTTCTTGAACTGAAACTTTGCGGATATCAAAAATAAATTGAGGCTTTTTTGAAATACTGAAATACATCTTCGCATTTTTTGATTAGTCCTAAAGAGATAATTTTTGAAATTGTGATTTTATCTGTTCACACAGTTTTGAAAAAAAAAATAATTTTCCATTTTTTTAGTTGATTCCTTCTTTTGGGCTGAAGTTGTCAAATGACCTCTAATGACTTTTAAGTTAGCTAGAGAACGGGTCGTAGTTTGTTTTAAAAAATTTCGAAAAGTTTACTTCGAGTATTTCAACGAGTACTTCGCAAATATTGGCGCCAGACTTGTACAAAAAAAAACAACTTGCATGGAGAAGGTTGCTGTTCGTCAGTAGCAATCGTTATTTTTGAAAAAAAAAATGATTTATTTGAAGTCATTGAAATAATCGAAAGTCTAAAAAAAACACATTACAGATTGCTACTATATCAATATTGTTCACGTCAAACACTTAAAAAATATACTAGCAGATCCTCTGACTGAAATTTTTACCCTGAAGTTTACCCAAACTGTTTAAAAATTGTAAAAATTGTTCCAGACGAAGTAAAAATCGATTACCCTACTCACTAAAGACCAATTTCGCTTTTTCCAGATCTGGAAAAACGTTTTGAGCGTTTATTTTTAAGACGAGCCCAATCATATGTACACAAATTTAATATCAACCGAAACGCTCAGTTTGGTTTCAGATCAAAAAGGAACACTGTTGACGCCCTTCCTCATTGATGGAAGAAGTTTTAACATTGCTTAGAAACATAAAATTTAACTGTTCAGAACGCTTTTTTTTAGGCCTCAAAGGCTTTTGAAACAGTTGATCACTCTAATTCGCTTTAAAAAAATTGGAACTTAAATTCTTGGAATCTTAATTTGACACTCGCTATCAGTACATTGAAACAAACTCTTTTAAGACCGAACTTTAATTGGTATCTTTTGGAGTACCTCAGAGATCTATCGTTGGCCCACTTTTATTCATACTTTATATAAACGATTATCAAATGGTCACGAAAAAAATCAGATCTGGAAAAGAAAATTAAATCAGAATAAAATTTTTTTAAAGCGCAGGATAGATTCAATCACTGAATCAATACGTAAAAATAAAACATATACCGTGAGAGATTTTTTTTTTGCATATGATTTCTGAAATTATCCGGGAAAATTATTCAGAAAGAGTGCCAAGTTGATCCATTGAGATATGCCATTAAGGAACAAAAATTAGACGTGACTTTTTCAAAAAGAAAATCAAATCGAAAGTTGGCTATAAATAGAAATTAACGATTTCAGAAAGAGGGTCGGTTTCAGAGTGTCAATTACATCTAAAATTTGAAAAATGTTTATTAATGTTGTAACTTTTTCTCGCCTGGGTTAGTTTTGGGAAAAGGGCTTCTCGGTTTCATTTGAATAGTTTTCATCATACATTTTTGGAAAATTACATTTTAGGAGGAGAGATTTTTTTGGGCATGCTTTGAGACATTTTTTGCTGATTATGTAGAATTTGTTTCTGTTGGTTATAAAATTAATTTTTTTGAAAAGAAGCGTAGAAAATTGCGAATAAAGAGGCTTATGTTTAATAAATGTTTACCGGTAGAAAGGTCCATTGCATTGGATCTAAGAAATTAACTATTTTTTTTGTTTTCAGCTTAATGAGACAGCTGGAAAGGGGCTGTGTTGGCTTAATGGTGTTCTCCCAAGTTATTCCAATTTGTATTTGTAAATTTTTATCAATAAGTCTGTAACTAGATATCGTTTGGAAACAATTTATTATTATTGTAAGTATGGAATTTCTCGCAGTTTCATTACATTTGCATTTTTTCATGCATGCCCACAGGTATATATTTGCCTCGGGGTATATAATATTTTTCTTAATTTTTTTTTCATATTTTGATGTTGATTTTGTGATTAAAAAAGTTTTATTTGATAAGATTGTACCAATTGCGAGTTGACGAAAAGAACTATTCAGCATGAATTGAATTAGAATCTAAACTTTTCTGTAAAGAAGTGGCGAATTTTCAAATCCAGAAAATTGGGGTTCAAATATTTTGATTTTTTTTTTGTTGTACCGTAAATGCTTTTTGGCGAGAGTTACAACCTTTGAATTAGACGTCAAAAGGAGTCTCAGGAGTCTAAAAAAAAGGCATTAGGATCGCGTAAAAAAATGAATATCGTCAAATAGTAACGAAAGGAAAGCCTCTGCGTTTTAAAGGGACTGAAATTCTGAGAAGGGCTGTATGATTCACACTTACACACCCCTGATTCAATTTAAAATAAATCTCAACCTAAAAGAATCAATTTGAGTTACATTTAAAACCTTTGCCGTTGCATCCTATCATCAACTTGAAGTTTTAGCTTGTTTTCAGTTTTTTAGGAACTGCAGATTATTGCTTTTTCCTAATACACATGATACGCAATCGTTGCTAGAGAATGAAGCAAAGAAAAAATAGCAAAAAAAAAGCATGCAGATTTTAATCAAGGGCACAAATCACAAATGAGACTGGCCGTTGAGAGCAGAACAGCTCCGCCGTTGGTTTGTTTCCTCTTCCGCCGATGATGATTGATCCTAGTTAATCGGCTTCTTGTTTTCATGATAACTTATAGCAATAGAGATAACTAGTAATAGAGAGTGTGGTTATAATCTAGGTTGGAAGATGTGTTCCGTCCTGTGTACAAGTTCTACACCCACTTGATAGACCCCTCCATGTCTGCCTCCATAGACGTCTATGCCCTCATGTTCTTCTTCGACTTCATCACTTACCTCATCCTCATCTTCAACTGGTGGGCATTCAGTGTGAGTACTTTACTGTAAACTAGTGTATACACATACACACACATACGCAAACAACATAAGGAGTTCTTACAACATCAAGAAAAAACTTGCCGAGCGAATTAATAATTCTGATCACGCAGAGTATCACGTGTCACAATTAATAGAGTATCACAATTAATAGAGTATCACGCATCAATCTATAGCAGCCTGCTAAATTACTATATAAGTAGAAATTTGGAATGGTAGGAGAAAAAAGAAAAGAAACAAAACGTCTGTCATGGTACAAAGAAGTCGCATTTTTTCATCAGCATTTTTGGTCCATCTGAAATCTTTTAAATAAAAGCGACAAGAAAAGCGAAGCAAATTGTTTCAATCGCTCTTTGTTCCAAATCCGATCTACTGACCTTTCGTTTTCAAATGGTAAACTGTAAGAAAAATAAAAGAATGAACTAAAACTACTTAATTTGAATTGAAATGTCCTCATCTTTCGAAATACAGAGAAAAAATGTTCTTTTCAAAAAAAAATTGGGAAACTGGTCAATTTATATTATATACAACATTCTTGAGAAGTTCTGCTGCCGTTTCAGGATATTGGAACGAACCAAAACGTAACCAAGTACCTGGAAGAAGACCGGATCCCGAGTATGTTTCTAGCGATGCTGCTAGTCCAGTTCCTCCTCACCCTCATAGACAGAGCCATCTACTTAAGGAAGTTTGTGCTGGGCAAGTTTGTGTTCCAGATAGTCCAGGTCATCGCCATCAATACCTGGATGTTCTTCATCATTCCTAAAACAACCAAAAAGTAAGCCGTCTTTCGTTTTTCGCATCTGGTCTAGGTTTTCACTTTAAGTTCACATTTCCAATGATAGTTCATTTAAGATTGAACTTAAGTGTTAACTATAGATGTTTCTTGAAACTGAAGCATGAATATGATATGATTTGTTTTTCAAAAATACAAATATAAGAAAATCAAAAGTTTTTCTTATTTGCTTGAGCTCGTTATATATTTTACAAATGTCTGTTGTCTATATTTCTTACTTTTATTTCTGTTTAGGAAATTCACTTCTAACTTGCCGGTGCAGATGTGGTACTTTTTCCGGAGTATTTACTTCGGGCTGGCGGCTGTCCAGATCAGGTGTGGATACCCCACCCGAATCCTGGGAAACTTTCTCGCCAAGAGATACTCCATCATCAACCTTGTCTTCTTCAAGATGTACGCTTTTTTTTACTACATTGCATAGTTAGATTATCAGGTTAAATAAAAAAGGAACAACTAACAAACATATTGAAAGACTCCGGTATGATTCATGAGTTTATGATAATTTTTTAGCCAAAATCTGTAAAACAAATTATCTTCCAATCACTTTACGCTATTCACTAAGCAATCATTTGTGTTTTTTAGAATCAGAAGTTTCTGCGCTCTTGGACGTATCATTGAAAAACTAGCGATGCTTCAGAAAACTGCAAATTCCGCGCACATTAAAAAAAAAATATTGTATACAAGCCTTTTGTATGGTTTCATCAAGGGCCGGATCTAGGATTTTCTCGAGGGGTGGAGAGGCGAGTTTCAAAAAATTTTCAAAAATTTTATCGATCTTTTTTAGGTCGACCAATATGATTTTCTGAGCTCTACCAAATCATTATAAAGACCCTATTTTGACCAAATTTTCTGCGCCGCGACGATTTTTTGAAAAAAGGCGTTATTAGGCACTTTTTGGAAAATTTTGACCAAAAAGTCGCTTTTTTTCGGCGCGCCCAAGCCGCCTTTAGAAAAGTTTTAGGGTCAGTCAGCCAAAAATAAATTTTTCAAAATAGTAAAAAGGGAGAACCCGTTGGGTCGGCAGGGGGTCGAATCCCTGAGGGAGAAGAGGCGTCCAAGCCCCCCTCCCCCCTTAATCCGCTGGTGGTTTCATCACAACAAATTTAAGTTCTTAATGATGGCTAGAAATCAATGGCTAGAAATCAACTCTTTTAAACGTGTACATCAGTTTGTTGCCACCACTTTGAGTCATCTGTTATAAAAAAAAAAATCATACAAAAAACTTCTAGACACGTTTTTTTTTACAGAAAACAAGTACAAAGCGAACGCAGGCGAAAACCCCTAACTTTTAGACTGGAAATATTTACATCTTCAATATTGTCAATCTTGACAACATCTGCAGATATAGCGGCATTTAATTGTTCCAAACATTGACGCAAAAACAGCAGCCAAGTGTTCTCTCAAAAACTCAAGTCCAATTATAGTGAAATCCAATTCCACTTTTCTTCAGTTTATGTAGTTTAAGACAGTAAAAACCTAAAACACATAATCAGTAGCCCATGGATTAGCTAAACTACTCAAATATGAGGTTTTGGTTTTGTGTTATAGCTTCCGATCTCTGCCTTTTATTCTGGAGCTGCGTGCTCTTATGGACTGGATGTGGACTGACTCCTCCCTCATGCTGTTCCACTGGGTGCGTCTCGAGGACATCTACGCCTCTGTCTTCTCCATCAAGTGCAATCGCAAGTTCTCCCAGGACTTCCCCTACAAACGAGGAGCCAAGAGGTACTCTTCATTCCTTCAGAAACCATACTTTTTCAAACACTTTAGCACACTTTAGCCTCTATTCTAGCATTATCCGGTGTAAAAGTATTTTCGATTGCTTTTTTTAATCGAATTATGGAATTGTAGAATATTTATCTAGAATTATACAATTCTACTGGCTCCTTCCATTGATATGAAAAAAATAATTATAATGCTCGCTCTGGATAGAAAATAAATAATTGTTTCAATCATTGGGGAGGAACTTTGTATTCGGGTGTGTTTTAGTTTTTTCTTTTTTCTTTTTGCTTTTGTTTTCCACGCAAAATCAGGTACCACAAACAATCATCGGACTGGGTTGAGTGATATATCATATTAAAACCCATTCAATCGTGATTCGATTGAAATTAAAATTTCCAGAAAATGTTCCCAGTATCGAGAAAAATTGGTTTGAAACTTTTGATTTTCGTCCTAATTCGAGCGAATAAAGCAAGTGAGCAGGCTTACAACAGCTTAATTATTCCTAATTTATCTATTTTATTTATATAAATTATACGTAAGCCTTAAATTAGGCATAAGCTCCAAAAACTTAGTTTTAGGCAAGTAAAGTTAGTGTTTGGAGTTCTTAGATTTTTTTTGAGAACCAAAAACTTCAAAAAAATCAAAATTTTTCTGCAGAAAAATTTGAAAAAAAAAATTAAATTTTTTTCAATTTTGAGTTTTTTTCGAGTCATTTTCTACAAAAATTGATGTCAATATGCCTATATTACTCTGACTGTCAGATATGCCAAAATTATAGTTTTTGTCCGATCCTTTTATCACACCACGCAGAAAATACTACACTAAATTGAAGAAAAAAAAACTGTAACCGGCTATCCTTGTATTTTTTCTTTTTGTTTTCCACGCAAAATCAGGTACCACAAACAATCATCGGACTGGGTTGAGTGATATATCATATTAAAACCCATTCAATCGTGATTCGATTGAAATTAAAATTTCTTGACAATGTTCCCTGTGTCGAGAAAAATTGACACTATGTCCTAATTCGAGCTGATAAAGCAAGCAAGCAGGCTAGCTTAATGATGCCTAATTTATCTGTTTTATTTATATAAATTAGGCATAAGCCCTAAATTAGGCGTAAGCCCTAAAACTCACGACGCAGAAAAAACGACGCTAATTCGAAAAAAAAACGTTTTTCGTTTTTTTTAAGGCTAAGGTCGAAACAATCTGTGTACTTGCCTAGTAACCGGCTATCCTTGTATTATATTTAATAATTTCGTCATTATATTTAATGGTTCCATAGAACTTATCTTAAATTGTTGTCTTTAAGTGTTGGCTCGCATTAAAAACTTTTAAACAGAACGGAAGTATCATTTCAATGAGACACAAGTCTCATCCTCCTATTAAGAGTATTATGTCAAAATGATTAGTAACAGCAGTAGCAATTGATATACTAAAATGCAGATCCATCATCATCAAGTATGGAGTGGGTGGGTTCCTGTTGACCACTCTCGTGCTCACCATCTGGTTCCCCCTACTCTTCATGTCCCTGGTGTACACTGCCTCCGAGAAAAACCCCCCTGTAGAAGCCACTGTCGAAATCACAATCGGCGCATTCCAGGTATACTATCATCATTCAACTTAAAAGCACCAATTGGCATGGCTTGCCAGGCGCAGATATTGTATTTTCTTAAAAGTAGCTTAAAGGGGTTTTCTTAAATGTTAAAAAAATCCGGGCTCTTAAAACTTATAAAGAACCTATTTTGACCTTTGTTTGACCCACCACTCAAAATCCGATACCAGATTAAATTTTGAATAACTATCCCTAATAACTGACCAGCCGTTCATATGATCTAGAACAGTGAATAATTAATTCAATGGCCCGGAGCAAAACAAGCATTTAAAAAATGCAGACAAATTTAAATACATACAATTTTCGCTTCGATGTGCATAATCCAGATTCTGAGTTCTGAATAGTTGAAAGTCATGATTTTTTCGATCATAGAAACTCTTTTTTCTTCAGCCCATCTTCATCGCTTCTACTCAGCAGAACTTAGTCCAGTACAGTACCAAGGAATACGAGGACCTACAACGGGAGTACCAGTCGGAACCGGTTAGTAGCGAAACAAGCTATGAAATCAAGGAACCAATATCTCAAACTGGAGTATTACTTTTTTGGAACGTGAAACTGATATGATTCTGATAAATGGAAAATAGCAGCAAGCTGTGTGGAGAAACAAAATTGTGTTTAAGTGTCAATCAACACAGAGAAGACAGTTTTATAGGTCATGTTCAGGGGCGGATCTAGGATTTCCTCGAGGGGGAGGGGGCGGTTTTTAGAAGAAAAATCGAGCATTTTGTCGACCTTTGTTGACCAACATTTTGAAAAGTACAGTCCAAAAAAGGCGTTTTTAGGCACTTAACGGAAAATGTTTACCAAAAAAAATGGGTTTCTCTCGGCGTGCGCTCCCCTTCAAAATTATAATACATCGGCGCCAAAGGCGCCTAAGAAAATTTTAAGGCTGGTCTGCCGAAAATGGATGTCATGCAACAATGCGAAAAGGGTTAGGTTGGCGAGTTGGTCGAATCGCTGAGGGGGAGGAGAAATTTACACTATTAATCCAGTTTCCTCAAAATGGATTCATTTGATCATTCCTAAAATTGCCTGCGTTTATTGACACTGCATGCTTGCTGTGTTTTCATGCAGAAAGCGCGCTCTTTCATCAAAAAGTACGAACCAGAGGATCTGGTGGAGGTGAACCTGAACGGAAATTCAATCCAGTTGTGGGGAGCATCTCCTCCTAGTAGAGAGGAACTGGTCAAGACTCTGAGGAACGCCGACAAGGATGTCCAGATGCGATTCGACTGGAACTTCGTCAGGTATGTGAAACTAGGGGTCATGTCAATTAAGAAACATAATGTCAAGGCAGACCTATCTGATTTGGCTTCAGTTAAGTTAATGCCTGGTAATTATCACCGAACTAGAAGGGAGCCGTAGTAAGAAGACCCGGCATAATAATAGATTGGTTAATAGGCAGTGGAAAGCCACAGGCACTTGGGAAACCGATAATGATCAATGTTGTTGGGTTCCAGTGCAATCTTAGATCGTTTCTCGCTGGAATCCATATAGTAACAAAAAGTCTGTAGAACAGAGCCAAGCAGCTGGCGTATTCGAAATCTTTCAGTGTGATACATGGCGAAACATTTATCGGAGCATGGAGTTCATTGAGACAACTAGAAAATAGATCTAATCCGTCAAATTCGCGCAGTCATCATGCAACTTATGTAGAATATTACAAAAGAACCATACACAAGTTGTTTCTTCTTTGCAGTAGATCTACACGCACGACTATGTCCGAATCGAATAGTCCCTAATGCTCATATTTGTTCCAGAAGCATTCTTCCAAAAACATGCAAAATAGTTTTCCTTGGAATGTTCTAGAAGGACGCAAGTGGGTGCGACGAAAGCAAGTGAGGCTTCGAGTGGATTCAACTACATCAAACTGAACACTTCAATCAGAGTGGAGTTGGCCAATCTACTGACAGGAGAAACCAAAGGACCAAAGCGACCAGTGTTAGTTTCATCTCTTTAATACCGCTAAAGTATCTTTTAACCGGACACGTTTTAGCGGGCACTTAAACAACTGAATTCTCATTCGCCACAAAGGCAATTTTGGTGTTTACAGAATGGGTACAGAACGCATGAGAAATTCAAGCATCGATTTTGAACAAAAATTTAGAGTTTGATTCTTTCGAAGGTTGCAGATGAACTTTGGATTCGGGAGTGTTTTATTTCAACTCAAGTGCAAGTCGCAAAGACATGCCCATTTAGGATAAATGATAAAACAAACTTGTATCCCTCTCATTTGTGATTCGGATCACTATGAAAAATTTCGATCGAGCAGAAACGTTTGAGTATTTTGCTTTCCAATTCAAACTTGATTATTACACTCGCAATTAGCGTTGTTTATTAGTACGAACATTTTTTTTCTAGCCTAACTCGCTAATAAAAGTGTTCATTGAAAGTGGAAAGTGTTCACTTATTTGGTGGCACTATTGCTATAATCACGATCTAGCATTGGAAGTTTCATAGCATCTGTTCTCTGCTTTATTTGTGACTAGTGTTTGTGATGTATTAAGCGTGCGTAGTTAGTACGAGACACTGATAATTTTAGGTCGCAGTTGGTCGCTGATTGAATTCAAAATCTAGCCGAATTCTTAATAATTTTGAACGGATGCGTATTTGCATTTTTACTTGTTGCACTTTATAGAGCTACTTTTTGTCGTTATAGAGCTGCTTTTTGTCGTGCTCTCGCTAGTGCTTGCGATGCGAAGCTTCGTCTTTGGATTAAAATGTCTACTCCGCCTCTTGCTTGTCAAAAACGCAAAAAGTATACACAGCGGCGAAGCTGAAAAATACCCACGCCAGCAACAAAACGGCAAAAAGTCAATTTTCTATAAATTACTGAAATCACCCGAAATCAAAGAGTAATCATTTTTTTGTTTCAACTAAAATTTTTATTTTTTTTCTGCCCTTCAACTTGTCTGAAGCATTTTTCGCTAAAAAAACATAAAAATTACATTTTTTTTGAAAGATTTACCATCGCACGCAATGCTAAGGAAAAAAGGTCGAAGAACTTTATCTGTGAGAAGCGCTGAATGTTCCGACTGCCGTTTAAAGTCAAAGGGAAAGTTTTTTTTGTCAAAAATTGATAAAATGATTGAAAAACATGCAAAGTTTTGATTTTTGGTGTTCTTTTTCTTCTTCATTTTATCCCCCGCTCGCTATGTTAAACAGAATTCTGGTAACCTTGGAAAATTTTGAACCTGATAATGTGAATATCCTCTTTTCCTCAGGTATTCTACCTTCTTTGGTATAATTTTTTGACATCCATTTTTGGCTTTTTTGACTGTGGTGCCAATATATTTACTTTGAAAGCGAGAGCGCAAAAAAAACTCCAAAAAAAGCCCAGAAAAGGCAAAATTTTTTGTCAATTAGTGTTTTTATAGTATTCAGTGTATGCTCTAAGAATCAATTTGGTCGACCTAATTAAAAACAAAGGTCGACAAAAATTTAGACAGTTTTTGAAAAGCCCGTCTTCGGAAAAAACTTAGATCCTCCCCTGATCACAAGTAAAATATCTGATTTTCCCTTAAGTTCAGGACATCAGTACTTTCCATGAAAAAACCGTTAAAAAAAGCTAGTTAAAAAGTAAAATAGAAATTGGTCTGGAAGAAAAAACCACCCCGAGCACAAATATTTTGTCATTTTTTTCTAAATTCGGAACGAAAATTGTTCATTAAAACAGTAATAGGTTATTTAGCTCGCATGTGTTAATTTGAAATAGTTTGATATTTCGTTTGATAGTTTGATATTCCGCAATATTTCGTCCTTTAAACTACTCATCTGTTAATAGAAAACTCTTTAAAATAAACATAAATTTAACGAAGTCTTACTTGAAAAAAAAATTATTTTGAACTCATGGCTTTAATCAAAAATGTTTCGGAGAATAAATCACCTTGAGCACAAGTCATTCGTCACTTTCTTCGAAAGTCAGGACAATTACCTGGAGCAGTGAAAAGGCTTTAATAAAGCGGATAAATTTAATGCAATTCAAATGATCAAATAAAGGCTAAACAGAAAATTGCATCTAAATTTGGTAAAGATATGATTTTGTTTTATAACATGGGCAATATAAACAGGGGCGGATCAAGGATTTTCTCGAAGGAGGGGGGGTTTCAAAAATTTTTCTAAATTTGTGTTGACTTTTTTTTAAGTTTGACCAAATTTTTTCCGAGCGCTCCCAGAAGAGAACAAAAACTGTATTGAGAAAAGTTTTGCGCCGCAGGCAAATTTTGAAAAAAGGTCAAAAAAGGCGTTTTTAAGAAATTTTTGGAAAATGTTGACCAAAAATTGCGTTTTTTCGACGCGCGCTCCCCTTCGAAATAAGTATATATTGGCGCCAAAAGCGTTTTTAGAAAAATTTAGGGTTGCTCAGCCGATAATGTGATTCATAAAATAATACTTATGGGTGGAGCCTTTGGTTGGAGAGGGGGTCGAAACCCTGAGGGGGGATGGAGTGTCCGCCTGTCGCGCCCCCTAAATCCGTCCCTGATTATAAGTGTGCATCCGAATGTTTTTGTTTTGTTTCAGAATAATTCACAACCTGTTTCCGAAGTACATCCAAGTACCTTCAGCCGGTCCATCAGTTGCGATCTCACACCTAGGTGAGTCAGTTGTGCATAAAACAGTCACTTCCATATGAGTAGACCATCTACTCCTTTGCTCAATTATGGTTGCCTTCGCGTCTCTCTGCGATACTATTTGGCGCCTTTTGCATCAAAGTTCTTAAATTTTGAAAGTATTATGCGCTAAATTTTTTGGCTACCTACCACCATCCTAAAAGTGTACAAATAACCATTTTGCCAAAAAGTCAGAAAATGGTTGCAAAATGGGGTGACTGAAAATTTTGGCAGAGCTGAAAAAGAAAAACTATGAAGAAAGGTCAACACAACATAAATTGTAAAAAAAAAATGCACCGTTACATTTCTCGCACCCTGTCAAAACTTCCTGCACACGCCATTGACCATCACTGAAATGTGTCAGTTTATTTTGCATTTTGTTGATCTCATTGTAACAAATGTTCAGTTTTCTAATAACTAGTTGTTTTTGTTCGATGGACTTTTTTATCAAAATTTTTTAGATGTCAATTAATGATCACGATGGTGAAAATTCAACAGAGTTTAGCTTCCAAAAATGTTACAAATAAAAGTGATAATGGTAAATGGCAAATTTAAAAATGGCTCTCCGCTCATCAACATTCATTAACCTACATTTTAATTCTACGCATTTTCATCACCGAATCATTTCAGTGATTTTTCACTAATAAGTTAGAGTAAAATATCACAATCACCTTTTTGCAGCCGACACAAATTCCTCGGGATTAGTTGCACCAGGTAAGAAGTAACCACGCCCACGTTCATAAATATCATATCCCGCAGCTGTCCCCTTGTACTACCCCCCTTTGTTTCATAGCCCTGCTACTTCGATGAATACCATCATTGCGCGATCACTAAAAAAATAACTTGTTTGAAAATCAATTCCATGAAAAAAGTAGAATTTAATAGTCGTTGCCTGTGACGTGGCACGAGTTAGTATAATTGTTTATTTAATGGTAATCAAAGCTTAGTTATTAGAACTGGGATAATGTCTTAAATGCTTAGTAATGAAAAGGTTATCCCATTATTACCACTACTAAATTAGCGAAATATCAATTGTAGCGCATCTTCATCTTCGCATGGTTAAACTAAAAAATGGAGTATACGTAAATATTCAAGAACTACGAGTATTATAATAGTCTAAATTCCTCGAAGCTGTCTGCAAAAAGTTTGAAACTTGATGTTTCGATACTTCTGCTGACCTTTTGGACCAGGATTTTCAGTGTTACGGACCCTAGTGGGTATGTATTAATAACAAGGATCGCCGGTTACTGTGCAAGTAGCACAGAATGTTCCGACCACAGTCTGAAAGGAAATACAAAAAAAAGTTTTTTTTTTTACAAATTGGTGCCGTTTTTTTCTGCATGTTGTTATAAAAAAAATCCGGACGAAAAAAAAAATTTAGGCATCATTGAGAGTAATAGTAAAATAGGTCAATTAGAAAACAATTTTTGAAGAAAATTGACCGAAAAAAAAACAATTTTTTTTTCGTTTTTTGAAGTTTTTGAATTTCCATGTTTTGTTATTCCCAAAATTACGCTAAGAAACTCCAGAAACTACTTTTAGTTGAATAAAACTAAGTTTTCAGGGCTAATATAAAGCTTGAAGGCTATTGTAAGAATATACCTTCACCTTATTAGCTCGAAATTAGACCAAAAATCAAAAATTTTAAAAGACTGGTTTTTCTCCACATTGTGAAAAAAGTGTGGAAATTTTTAATGTCGTTCGCATCACGACTGAAAGGGTTTTGATATGACATATCACTCATTCCAGTCTGATGATTATTTGTGGTACCTGCTTTTCGTTATTTGTAAAACGAAAAGCAAAAAAAAAATAAAACACCCGAATACAAGTTTTCTCCCCGTTTTCAATGGTCGGAACAACAAAGATAGCCGTTTACTGCACAAGCATCACAGAATGTTCCGGCTACTATAGTCTTAAAAATACTACAAAACAGTTTATTTCAACAAATTAGGGTCGTTTTTCCGCGTGGTGTGACAAAAAGAGCCGAAAGAAAAACAAGACTTTAATCATATTTGACAGTCATAGTAAAATTGACTAGAAAAATTACAAAAATAAGAAGCTCTCAAATAATCAAAAACGTCGCTACGCGAATAAAACTAAGTTTTCGCATTTTGAGTTAAGCAATTGTAAGCTTTTAAGCCATAAAAATAAGCTATTGTAAGCCTGCTCGCTCGCTTTATTCCCTTATTCGCTATTAGTTTGAAGTTTTTAAATGTCGTTCGAATCACGATTGTAAGGGTTTTAATATGATATATCACTCAATTCTCTCTGATGATTATTTATGGTAGCTGATTTTGCGTGGAAAACAAAAAAAAAGAAAAAGTTAAAGAACACGCGAAAACGAAGTTCCTCCCCATTTTGCAAATGATCGGAAGAATAACTTTTACTTTCAAAACTGTTTTTTATATGCTTAGGATAGAACAGAACTAAAATTGATTAGGTTAGTTGAGACGCCAAACTTAGTTCATTAGAGGAATCATTATAGCATTAATATAATAAAAAAATTAATTTTAATTTCCCAAAGAGTCGCTCTTGGCAGTTTGATTTTTCAATAGCATGTAAAGCTTTGCCCTTCTTTGTTTTTTGTTCACTTTTGAGAAAGAAATTATAATAGTTTAATCAATTTGATTAAACGGCATAATAAATTTTTTAGGGTACTAAGTTCGAAAATCCTTATAACAGATGAATTTCAACCTGACCAGCTCGAAAAAAATCACCAGATTCAAAAATTGTTTTTAAGAGTAAAGAACCTAGTGAAGACTCTTATACAGGTCCTGCTGATTTTTTTTGTTTTTTTTTGTTATTTTTAACAAGTCTTAAAATGTGCATAAAAGTCTCTAATAACTACAGATGTGCATTCATACATATTGATGCATTTATGAATGCTTTTGGCTATATATGCACTTTTTTGAATTCAATTGAAGTTCACCTGTCTGGAAAAGATGTAAAAAACACTCTCCAAATAGGAACGTAAAAATGACGCGAAAAAACGAACCATTTGTAGTTTCAAAAATGGATTTTAATTTTTAGATTTCCAGCGGAATAAAAACTTTACCTATTGATCCAGTTTTCTCTAGTTGGATTTATGTTATCAGAAAAGCGCCATTCATAAATTGGTTTAGAAATTTAAAGAGTTTAAATGACATCTATTATTTTCTTTGAAATTTGAAAGTTGCGATTTTTTCAACAAAATGAGTGTTTTTTTTTTATGTTTACTTGCGTTGATTACTTTTAGTCCTTTGAATCAAATTAGTCCTCTGTTTGCCCTAAATTATAAAATCAAACCTCAAACATTTTTTTTGCTCTGATCCTAATGTTATCAGCTGTCTGCAGGCCTCATTTTTAAGCCAAAAAAACGTCAATCTACAAAAAACTGTTTGAAAATCTCAAAAGTACCTTTACCTGCGATTGTTTTGATAGGTTTGTCTCCAATGGAGACTACTTGTGAAACAAACAAGTTCTGAATTCCAAAAGCGGCTACTACAAAAGTTTCAGGCAAAAAACGCACGTTTTCGCTAAGACCGACGTTTAAAATTTAGGTTTAAAATTTCTAAATGCAGCTTAAAATTTCATTAAAAACTGATGAAAATTAAAATGGCTGTTCGATCATCAACATTCATTGTTCTAATCAAATCTTTTCAGTGAGCCAAGTTAAAATGTCTGCGCGCCGTTTGTCAGCACCTGGTTGAAAATATCCAAGCGGTTCAAATGGGAGAAAAATGTGAAATCAGATTATGAAACACTTTCGTATGATCTGAAGTTTCAATCTTTACCACTGTTTGCTCTAAAAAGCAAAAGAAAAACTGGAGTCAATTTTTTAATTCTAATCCAAGTTTTGAAAGACTCAATTACAGCGCCAATCCTTAGTGATGTCTTATTTTTGAGTAAAAAACACCCTAACACCAATTTCCTTTACTTTTTGTAATTAAAACAAAAAAAAAAACTTTTTTTTCTAAGTTTTTCAACAAACAAAAACTTGAAACAAGTTAAAACAATAGATATCTACAAAATATATTGAACGGTGGTATCGCTGAAGTTCACTTTGAGGGGGGAAAATTAGTAGAGAAAACCAAAAAGCGAAACTTTTGTTGAAATCAATGTAGCATCAAAACTAAAACATGTCGTAGTATAGGTGGCGCTCAGACAATTCGGCCCAAGACAATTCAGTCAATTTGAAATTCAAACAATTTAGCCAAAATTATACAGACAATTCAGCCGGAGACAATTCAGCCAGTTTTTCAGAACGCTAGTTTCGAAAGAAAAATAGGAATTGGAGTTATTTTTCGGTTTGAGATAACCGGCTCTAAATCTCATGAAGAGTCCAACCCTCGGTTGGCAAGCTAGTAACACGTTGGAGCGACTGCGGCGGTCACTATTATTGGCTGAATTGTCTCCGGCCGAAGTCTCTGGACGCGAGTACAGGTAAAACAAAAAAAAACGCAAGAAAAAAGCCATAAAACGGAATAAAAAAACATTTATTTAAACAATTTTCCCTGTTTATAGCTTTAACTAATCAAGTTAAGCTAAAATTTGATATTACAAATTTAGCCTCCATCACACCATAAAATGCATCTAGAAAAGTTAAACAATTTCTTGAGATGTTACCGTTTATTTACATTACCAAACAGCCATTGTGATTAGCCAAGATCGATCTCTAACACCATCTCAGAAAGATCAAATTATTTTTAAGTTAATCAATTAAGTGTTTTTTAGCATTTTTGGAGCTTTTCTTCTCTGTCAGAGTTAATGTTGAGCGCCAAATATGGAATGATGGATTTAAAATCAAATGAAAAACTTAAAAAGCTTCATCAACATTCAGCCCCCTCCCTTCATAATTCTAATGAATCGAACTCTTATATCTAGCAGGATTTCCTCACAAATCAACTGAAACAATCGCATGATCTTGAAAAGAAAGCTAGAGAACAAAACCGCAACTCGACCTTTATTAATTGTTTCAAGTTCAAACTTGGTGAATGTTTGCAGATTTGCCAACCAGTGACTTATATTTGCCATGTTTGTAGGTCTACCTAAAAACTCATCCGGTGAGACATTGGACTGTATGCAATGAGTCACTCTTGTCACCTTAAATGATAAAATAGTTCTTTTTCGTTTTCGTTATGGCTTGCATTGCTTCTCGCATCAGCTGGAATCATTTTTATAGCACATTTAAGTATTGTTTTTTATAAAAGTTGTTTTCAAAAATAACAAAGTATTCTGAGCTCCATACGGTACCTAGTATCGAGTATCCAATCCTTTAGCAAAGTATTCGAACGATTAAACGACCAGTTTTTAAGCCTTCTCCACGTATTTTTTTTTCCAGAAGGTATTGAGTCAAATAACGACTTTAATCTCTTTTAAAAAATTAAGAATCCTTTTAAGAACATCCAAAAAAAATCTAGAAAAAACTTAAATTGCAAAATTGCACTGGAGGTCTAAATTGATCTCTGCGAGTATTCTGTTTGATGCAATTCTCAAATCAGCACAATTTGAATTGCGAATGATTGATTTGTTTTGCACTTTCGTTTGTAGAATGCAACTTCGCGTTGTTGGAATTGTCCTACTATTGAAACCATTATGATTTAATATGGAAACGACACATTTTGTTCACATTGCAAATGTAGGAGCTTTTTTACACAGGAGTTTGTTCATGATAAAGTGATGTTTTCAGGCGAAGATGTGACGGGTACACAGCCCAGAGGAAAGTATGTGACTGTCTCCGTTGACCTCATGTCAATTCAGACTGACTCCCCCCAATTGGGGGGCAGTAATTTGGGCAGGGAGATGGGGATGGAGTGGTGGGTTCTCAAGGAGGTCACTGGACTGAAAGAGACGGGGGATGAGGGTGAGGGGGATAGTAGTAGTAGAAGTGGGTTCCGAGAAAAAGGCGATCTGACTGTGATCACGTTCAACGAGAGGGTCTTCCCCCAGTCGGTGTCTTTCCTCGCCGGCTACGGGTTCGTACTTTTTCTAAAGTTCGATAAAGGCTGAAAACAATTGATATTTTTAGCGAGAATTCATCTCAAATTTGTGATTTAACGCTTTGTAGTCTTAAAAAGCGTTCAAATATTTTATGGGCTTTTGTGCTTTTTTACATTCCGTTTTTAGATTTTTTGTATTTTTTTCTGAATTTTGAGAGTATCATTTGCAAGTTATGCGAAGTTTGCAAGCGACGCTCTTTTCACGGCCTACTTTGTTCATTTCAGCATCATCGGTCTCTATCTCTCACTGGTTCTGGTCATTGGCAAATTTGTTCGCATGTTTGTCTCCGGAATATCCTACAAAATACCCTTCGACGAACTGCCAAATGTAGACAAGGTGTTGAAGTTATGTCTGGACATCTATTTATGCAGAGAGGTCAAAGAGTTTTCCCTGGAAGAGGATCTGTTTGCCAAACTCATGTTCATTTATAGATCACCAGAAATGCTGATCAATTTCACAAAACTAAAGCTTGATTGAGGAGAGATCAAAAAATGTTTTCTTTTTGTTAACCTTTCGTTTTATCTAACACTACTGCTTTAAAATTATGGTAACAGGGTTTATGAACCGCAGTTACTGCTCAATTGCAGAAAATTTAAATTTCTAAATTTTAATTTCCTAGATAATAAATCTCGTATTCAATTTTTTTGCAATAAAGTAAAAGCTATCAGAAATGTTTCGAAGTTCAATCAGGTGAGTTCAACTTGTCGCCGCCTTTCGTTTTGCGGAACTTTTCCAAATTTCCACCAAGGAAGTTAATGCGGTCCAATAATTTATCTTTTGAACGTAGCGATTCTTCGATTAGATACTCTTTAGTGACTATGTTAGCTTTGTTACGTAACATCGTCTGAACAACCACGTATTCATACTTGTCCAAATCTGACTTTTCTACTGAAGGTTCAATCACTACGACACTCTTTTTACGACTGATGGCAACTTCAGAAACTGTTGTTTTCTTCGATCCGAGGAGGTATTTGAGAGCTGCTAATATCGACGCAACAATGCAAATTGGATGTGGAAAAAATGAACGGCTTTGAAACTCGAGGACCATTGTAAACCGTTCGGTTTTCCATTCCTCGTCTGATTTTTCCATGATAGTCGCGTAAATCCTGCCAAATATGGCAATAAGCGTGTTCAACAACATAGCATTTCCTACAAACAACATGATTATCACAATCATTATGTAATAGCTCTTGAGTCTGACCATTTCTTGCTGTTTTTCCGGCGGGTACTCTGAAATTGTTTCGCCCATAGTTTCCAGGAAATATTCGCCGTTGATGATGAAAAAAGCTCTCAAAATGACACCAGTATAGCTGCCAGAATGTGCATCTTCATATTCAAACAATTGGAACAGTGATGTAAAAAACACACCAAAAGAGCCCAAGAAAATAAAAAGAATTGACATGAAAATGAGCGTTTCCGACAACATCTTGCGAATCATGATCCAGACGGTTCCAAGTTTCTTGTCGTACTGGTAGTAGCGAAGTATCCGTATCCAGCTCAGAAGTACAGCCAGAGCATAGAAACCCTTACGCATGTTGGGAAGTGTGTCTTCTTTGTCATATTTGATATCCTAAAACATGATCGGCAATTTCTTAAGTGTGAACTAACTTTGGATTCGGATGTGCAGAACTTTGGATTCGGATGTGCAGAACTTGGGATTCGGATGTGTTGTTTTCATGTGAAAATAGCAACAAAAAATCAAATGGGAGTTGAGGAATGATATATAAAGTTGAAACTTGTTAAGTAGTAAATCGGATACTAATCAGAGAAAAACTTTCTTTTTTTTCGAGAAAAGGTGATTCGAACTTGTTGATTTTTTTTAACTAAAAGTCTCAGTTCAAATTACTTAGAATACCTTAGACAGCTATTTAGTTTTTCTGTTAAGTAAGCAATTGGTAATGCATTATTGGAGCTTTTTTTAGCTCAAAAAAGTTTTTAAGTTTGCGAATGGGACTAGAACTAAGGCATAGGGGGGTTGGTTTTTTTCTAGCCGATTTTGGCTACCTCATAACGCTCACGGAAATCAAGTGAAGTATCATATTAAAACCCATTCATCTGTGTTTTGCGATCTATTTTGTCTAAGATTTTTAAAGTAACATTGAACGCAGCGAAAACACCTATGTGGGTCGTGATGGTTTAATTTTTTGTTTTAAAAGTATATTCAAATTTGTAACTTTTAACTTATTTTTAATTTAACTTCAACTGCTAAGAGAAAAACTAATTAAGCTCTTAGAAAGCGAAAATTCGAAGTGCGCAAAAAACCTGAAGGCCTTTCTAGTTTAAAAAAAATGAATTTTGTTTATCAGCAGAATGTATAACTTACCTATTTATCTAAATTTCTCATCTGCGTAGTTTTAAGACAAATTGTCAATACTAAAAAATTTTGTGGGAAGCTTTAAGAGGATAACTCTTTCCCTTTGAAACACAACATATGATTTGTTTTTGGGAAAAATACTTTTTGAAATCTCCTTGAGTTCATCAAAACATTTTCAACGGTCTGCCGGCTATTTAAGAGAAGAGCATAGTTCAGAAACCTAAATAATTCGTGATGGTTTTTAGCTCATCAGGCTCAAATTTATTTTAATATCAGGCTCAAAAAATATGACGCTCAAAAATTGAAAAAATGGAAAACTAGTCTGAGTATTGCTCTTTTGAGTTCACTGACGCTTTTCCAATTTTTTTTTGCTGACTGGGGCCCAGGGTTCACCTAGCGGAAGCGAGTTCGTTTTTAAAAAAACGGGCGTTAGTTATGAGCAAACTTCACTTTTTTTTTACAATTTTCTGCATGCAAAAGCTTAATTTTGCTGGTTAAGAGGTTAAGTCTTGAATGGTTTTTGCTTTTCTATAATGGTGCTTGTCTTGAATGATGCTCAAGGCTTGCAATGCTTAAGCAACATGCAATGTGCAGGAGCACAGGAGCTGATATAAGCTTAACTCGAGAAGAGGGGGTTTTAAAAAAGTAACAAAAAAGTTAAAGAAATGCTGGCCGGCCAAAAAATGATGTCGTTTAATATTTTCCACGATTGAGGAAAAGCACTTCAGGGGATTTGCTGAAAGCTTGTTTCAACAAAAACCGGGCAATGAGGGTTTAAAATAGTTATTTTAAACTAAAATATCAATTTTCAGACCTGATTCATGGTGTCTCTACAAAATCAGACCTCAAAAATGTAGAGCAACAACAGATGTAAATATGAAAAAAATGCTTCAATTAGCAAACTTTGACATTGTCAGACATTTGAAAGAGACAGAGAAGCATAAGAAGAGCTCAAGCTTGCATTTGTATACATGAAGTACTCATGCATATGAAGTACTGAAGCTGATGGCTAATAAATGTAGAAAAACAAATTCAAACGCTGATGAACAAAGAACAACTTGTGAAAATTTCTTTGAAAACAAAAGAAAGTTTCTTAAACTAAGATCCACAAAAAAATTATACCAATTTGAAGATACAAAAAAGAGTTATACTATTTTTCAACAAATTTTGTCCAGTCGACAAAATAATGCTTATAAAAAAATGTGGAAATTGACAAATCGAAATAAACTGGTTGTCATTATTTATTTAAATATTTTTATCCATGAAAAAATGAAGGATTAAAAGAGTGTTTTCTGACAACAATGAAGGGAAGGCGATGGATTTTCTCTATTAAAAATATTGAGTTTTTACTCAACTGAATTTGATTGCTTATAAGATGGCACTGAAAGACAGCTTGGCTACTTGCTAGTCTCTCGCGTTTGTAAGCATACTTTTTGCATCAAAAGTTTGTATATGTGGGTTTAAAACAAAATTTTTGTGTATATGTGGGTTTAAAACAAAATTTTCGCGATCATTTTTATAGGACCTGCCACCTAGAACGGTTAAGTATGTCCAATCACAGACTTTAGAAAATAAGAGCGAAGCTGAGCTTACCTGTACTATATAAGTTTGGATTGGGACGGCGACAAATGCGATCAGCCCGATAACAGATACGGCAACGTCCAGGAAATTCCACTCAGTTCTTCGCCAAACTCTCCACTTCAGCGAAAAAAGATGCATGTTGATTTTTAGCCAGAAGTTCGAGATTATTTCCAACATTGTGGAGAGGAAATAAAGCGCAATGTAATACTCCAACCAAACATGTGACATGTAATTGAAATCAAACAAGTAAAATTTGGAAATTAGGATGACAAAGATGAGATGAAAAATTAGGCGGATTAAAAATTTGCAGGCTGGAGAAAAGTAGAAGAGGTTAGCTTTGCGTTTCCAGATGGTCCAGGCATCCCGGATTTTTTCTTTATCTACTGGATCCCCAAAGGTGTATTCGAACTCCATCGATGTCCGTCTGTTTGCTCGCGACTGCCTGTCCGCGTGTAAGACGGTTTCAACTAAAATACAATATAGAATATGCTGGAAAATTGATTAGAAACAATTTTACAATATTAAATATTGAAATACTTCACTAGCGATTTGATTGGTAATGTTATAAATGTTTAAATTGAAAATTACTTCGTTCAATTTTAAGCATATTTAGCAAATTTTTAAGGTGGAAGCCTTAAAACAGCCAGCCTTATGCTTTCCTCCTAGCTCAGCCCTCCTCATCAAAATGTTTAGGCGTTTAAGCATTGACTGGCGAAACTTGGTTGATAAAAATGCCAAACTTCAAGACTTCCAAGTAATTTCCAAGTAATACGTTACTTTTTTCTTCTGAAATTTCAATGAAAATTTGCTCGAAATCTTACTTTGGTCCAGCACTCCATTCGACTCTCGTCTTTCCAATTCATTGGATGGATCCGACTGACTTCGTATTTCATTCCAAGGAACTGCCATGTTCTGTCCACTGGATTGATTGTTAGTAATACTGCTTTGGTCTGAAGTCTTCAGAAAGATAACAGAGAACGGGTTCAATAAAGTTGTCACGATTTTTCCATGGTAGCAACTCAAGCCCTTGGTCCACATTTTTTGAACTACTTGTTGGAAACAGGGGTGTGAAATGACAATTTTGATTTCAATGAACCATGCTACATCCATTACACAAGTGTTCCCGTACTGTGGCAAGTTAGTGTTGAGAAGCAACATCGCTTTTTGAGGGTTCAAACTCCAAGCGGATTCCAAGATATCGTAAGCTTTTTGAATGTACTCCTCATGAGCTTCTAAGTAAGGAGTTCGCATTTTGAAGAGGTCGCCAGTTAAAGACTTTGCCACCACTTTGCAGAGTTCGGATCCGATCAGAGCCAGAATCAACTGGTTTGAAGCCTGCATCCAGAAAAACTCGGTCGCTTTCAGACGTCCGTTGAGAAGCGCCCAGAAGAAGAGTTCACGATAAGGATCATTGAAGGAAGTGCCGTTTTTCAAAGAATGAAGTGGCTTTGATGTTGTACAGGAGTAACATAGATCATAGACGCAGTTCAGACTGATTTCATCTCGTTCGCCTAAGCATCGTTCTAATACGTCGTGTAGAAGCCGGGATTTCTTATAGGAGCGACTGTACAATTGAGCTAATCTTCTAGGCGTGAGAAATTTCTCCATTGTGAATCCACACTGAAGAAATAGTCTGGCGAACTGGATTTTCTCCTCGTGTTCGATCGCCTCCATCATGAGGTCTTGAATCCCCGATCTGGCATTGATGTCGGCGTCCTGAACCAGTATCGACTAAAACACCGGGTAACTATTTGCAGCTGTTAGATGGTTTAAAACTTCACGTGTGGACGTGCTGGGGCATATATCTATGTCCTCCCCTTAACAATAAATGCTCAAATGGGCTGCGGCATTTAAACAACAATAGCGACAAAAACGACGCAACAAAACCAAATTATATGAACGAAAACAGTAATCACATTGGGTTTGATGGAGGCGTAGCGATGAGCATGAGTAACTATCAGCATGCGCTAAGTGCTTCAACGAGGTGTTCATTTTGTCGAAAAAAGAGCCTACTTTTTCTATAAACTTTAAAAATCGCCTTTAAATTTTGGGCTGCATTTAAATTTCATTTCTAAGGTAAACATTCGGCAAAATGCACGCTATTTGAGTAAGCAAATTTGAGTAACCAAAACGTCTTATTGTGAGAGAGTCAATTGCGTTCTTCTGCATGCTAATCGACACACATGCTATCAGGCCGGTCCCCCTTTTGCTGCTGTTTTCGTGCATAAATTAACGGGATCTAAGTCTATATTGTGCAATGAAGCCACATGGACCGTGGAAGCTTGTGCGTTACATAGAACAATTAATGAAGATCATACCTGATGTCCTGTATTGCTTTTAATTTTCTGAAAAAACTCACAGAGGCTAGCCAAAAATTTTCATAGCTATCTATTTTTCAAGGATACTACTAAAAAATGAGAGTTAGAGAACAGTTCGAACTAAATTAAAATTTTATCAGGCTTGTGATCTGCAATTAGAAGAACTTTAAAACCGTTACTCGCTAAGATAAAAATCATTGGTCACTTCAATGACATTTTTTTTATTTTGAATCAGTTCTCAGTTATTGATAAAAAAGTTTAAAATTAAGGCTACCTCAACGATTTCCCCACAGTAGTTCCAGCGCAGTGACAATTTAACTGGATCATAACTTTCTGCAGTCTTGCCATCCAGCAAAGCGGAGAAAATACAAGTGTGCAAGTTGACAACAGGATTACTCAACTTGTAGATTTTGATAAGTTTCCTTTTCTGGAGACACTTGAAGATGAGGGGTTCGAGGGTGGCTGTGTGCATCTGGTTGAAGGAGAATAGCTCGTCAGCTGACTTTGCTTTGGACAGAAAGGAGAGCAACTGGCGAACTAGCGTAATGTAATAGGGCCTAAAACGGATGTCATTTAAATGCATGTATTTTCATATATATGCAACTCATAAATGGTTCATTTATCTACTTTGGCAGCATGATATAATCTGCGGGTCTGACATTTTACCCCAAAAAAAACAGAAATATTGATCTTCTTAGTTTTTTTTTCACGTTTTTGTAATGAAAACAGTGGTCAAAAAATTCTGTGCAACTTGCAAAGCAACTTGCAAATTAGCTTCCGCGCCCTTCAAAAAAAATTGTTTGTTATTGGGGGGCTATAATGAAAAAATCCAAAATGCGGATGATAACGAACCATTTCGAGGCGTCATTGGAAGGTGGAACTTTGTGGAGAAGCAAAATCAGGTAATCTACAATTCCCCCAGACCCCTGGCATAGAACCACAGGAATCCCGTTTTCCACAGATCTTGCCATGTGTTCCAGAGTTTTAGCATCACCTCCGAAAACCAACAATACTGTTGGCGTATTCAACAGTTTCAAATCTTCAACTTCTGCATTAGACGCAAAAGATGCCTTGTCTTTTGAGCAGAAGTTTTCGATTTGTATTCTCGCAGGTAGTTCGCAATGTTTTTCACGGACTGCACTTTCAATTGCAACAAAATGGGTGAAAATTGGGTTCAAATGTGTCTCGTACCTATCGTAAGTACTGGCCGCAATAGCGTTATCAGTTAGATTTGAACTTGACACATTAACTGAACGAGCGGGAGTAGCTTTTGAGCGAGTTTTCTTTACAAAATACTTAAAAGTTTTGTCTTTAGGAGCAATGCTCTCAGTAGAAGTGGCTTTTTTAACACTTCGTCGGCTTCTCAAAGGATCACTTAAGGTCTTAATGAGTGTGCGTTTCTGCGGTGGCGCCACCGGAACCGGAATTCTCAAATGACCTTCAGTTGGAGTCATTAGCGAATCTCCACTCCAAAAAGACGACATTGTTCTATTTTCAGCCAGACAGTTCCAATTGGTAACACCAATAAGGTCAAAATTCATTTCATTTTTTCCAAGCCATTTCAAGTACTGCACTTCTTTAAGAGCACGTGACACTAACTCATCGGCTCCGTCGTTTGTGCCTCCAGTTATTACCCAGCATTTAGTAGTACTAACTACTTTGACTAAACCAGATTGAAACGCGCTGAATTCTTCGTGTCTGAGGTTGACATGGTTAAGGGTTCCAGTGACAGAAACGATGATATCAGGTACTTTCAGACCCCAGTTGTCGATTAGAGTTTCCACGAACAGGTTCGGATGACTGTCCACTGCCAAGATGGACAACTGTGCTCGTTTCTGTATGCCTTCATTTTCATCCACAAACTCAATGTCATGAGTCGGAGTCGGCCTGAATAAAGCAAAGCATTGTTTGTTGAACACATTGATACTACTTTTGAAAAATTCATTGGAACTGGAAATCAAGTTTTGAAATTTTTAGTATTCGTAAAAGTAATCAAAAATATTTGTTTGTGAATTGATGAGACATGGAGCAAGCTTCGAAAAGTTAAATTTAGCCTGTTTTTTAGCTATCATTTGTTTACATTTCCAGGGTATATTTTTGATTTCTATTGGAAGTCTTAAGTTTATAATTGTATGATATGCTCTATAAAGTTTTGACAAAATTTGAAAAAAAATTGTCCTTTTTTCCACAAAAAATCTGACATCACAAACCAGGCATCACTCAGTTGATAAAGCCAAAAAAAAAAATTCGAGTCAGGGGTAGATCCAGGATTTTCTCAAGGGTGAAGGGAGTTTCTAAAAAATATGCGGACATTTTCGAAACTTTTGTAAAGCTACATTAAAATTGATTTCTCGAGTCCTCCAAAACGCTATGGAGAACTATTTTGCAAACATTTTCTGCCAGACGGAGAAACATCAAAATGTTACTTTGGGAACCTTTTGGGAGATTTAGATTTAAAAACTGATTTTTTTTCAGCGTGCGCTCCCCCCCCCCCCCAATTTTGGGAAGCGCTCTTACAGAAAACTTCAGGCTCATCCTTCACTGACAATATTAAGATTGATATCGATATAAATCAAATTTTATGCGGATAAAATAGTGTGAAAATATTGATTTACGGCATCCCATTTAGTTACATACATCGTTTTAGAATAGGTTTAAACAAAATTTTAGGGTAGATTTTTATGGTAGTGAAATCCATCAAAACCTTAACCAATTGGTTTAAATTAATTTTTGCTTTAGCGAAATTAACTTAAGGTAAATTTTGTAAAAAGAAAAATTTACAGAACTACAGAGGCAAAGGGTCACTAGACGAGAATTTTTTACCGCAAAATTTTGAGTCTAAGAGATTCCTTTTTGAATTTTGCAACTCTAAGTGTGGTGATGAAAATAAGCTAATGCGAATATTCTTCAAATTTCATTTTCAGTTTCATTAAAAATTTTCTAGCCGCATTTTTGGTAGAAAAATGAGCTTATGAGAAGATCAATTTAGATCGATTCATTTTCGGGGCGAACAAATTACAGAACGTTTTTCTAGCCAAATATCAACACAACAAATCATTTGAAAAATATGCGTTACACTTTTATCCAAAATGTTCTATTGTCTGATAGTGGAGAAAATCTGATGAAATCTTCTATATAACCCGTAAAAATTGAATATCCAAAAAGTTGGATAAAAATTGAAATAGATTTTAACTGACTACATTCAATTTTGTGGTTCTAAAAATCCGTAAAAAACTCAAAAAATCAATTACGTTGCAAAACAATGGATTTATATTGATTTAGAATCAATAATTGAAAATTAGTTTTTGAGCTTAATTTTTGTAACAAACTAAATCAATTTTATGTCAACTGAAATCAAATTCTTAAGTTTCTTCTAGTTAATTTGTATCAAATTGGTAGCAGTCTTTTTTTGTCAGTACGGGTTGTGTCGTCAATAAAGGTAGAAAAAATATATTCAGAATATTTGATTTCTCCTGCATGACATGCTAAATTTCATAGAGAAAAAAATTGTTCCACAAATGATAAATTTCTGCGGTTTCTCTTCATTAAATCCGTAATTAATTTAGGTTTTATTTTAAACTAACGTTTTTTTCTCCTCTTTGGAGAACATAACGGAATCTATGTCATTGGGGTAGTTATGTTTGTTGAGACCAATTTTTCCGTAATAAATTTTTCAGCAAAATTTTGGATGTTTGAAAAGGACTTTTGGTATAGTTTAAGTGCGTTTTGAAATGTTTATCTTTAATGATAGGTGAGCCAGAACTAGTTAAGCACTAAAAACTGTTCGAGAACGTTCAAATGTCAGTCAAAGTGGGCATTGCTCAGATTTAAGTGGTCACATTTTTTATTGAACGAACTAGAGTTACTCGGCTCGCTTCTTTTAAATGCAGAGGAAAGCGAGTGCCATCAGATCAAATAATCCTGCTTAGTGCACTAGATTTTTTTTTGGAATGCAGCGTATTGTAATTTACAAACCGACTAGAGTTCTTTGTAATTTGCGCATACATCAAAACTGGCATATATCAAAACTGGCGATTTGCGCATAGCATATATCAAAGTAATCAATATTCCAGCAACAAAATGGAACAAGACTGCTCGTATCAGGGCAAAACCTTGAATCTTCCGACTGCCCTTTAGGGTTTATGGAGCAGCAGTAATAACATAAAAAAATTAAATGAAATAAAATAAAATGAAATTTTTTTTTTCTAAAATTTGAAATTTTTAATAAAAATCATCCACCCACACGCCATATAAAATACAAAAAGAGAGATTTCGTTCCTTGTAACAAATCAATTATGGCAAAAAAGCTTCGTTCAACCAATTTGGAACGATTTCTAAGTCGGATTAACTCTCCGCTTACACGTTAATAGCGCGAAATATATCGCGCGTTAATTGTCCCAAATTGGTCAAAATGGCAATCTTTGAACCCTCATAACATTACGAAAAATGATCACAGGTGAAATATCTTTTCAAATTTAAGCTCCAGAGAACAAAACCTTTTGAATGATTTTAAAAAAATCCGTCAAAAATGGCTAGTTAAAAAGTCGAAATTTGTCTGAAGAAAAAAAAAACCCACCCCGACCGCAAATATTCCGTTACTTTCGTATCGAAAGTCGGAACAACAAGACTGCTCGTATCAGGGCGAAGCCCTGAATGTTCCAACTGCCTTTTAAGATTTATAGAGCAGTAATAACACTAAAAAATTAAATGTAATAAAACAAAATGAAACTTTTTTTCTCTAAAAATTTGAAATTTTTTAATGAAAATCATACCCCCACACGCCATATAAAGTACAAAAACTAAATTATTGCAAATAAGCTTCTTTTAACTAATTTGGAATGATTTCTATGTCGGATTAACTCTCCGCTTACACGTTAATAGCGCGAAATATATCGCGCGTTAATTGTCCCAAATTGGCCAAAATGGCAATCTTTAAACCCCCAGAACTTAACGAAAAATGATCACAGGTGAAATATTTTTTCAAATTTGAGCTCATGACAACAATACTTTTCGAATGATAAAAAAAAATCCGTCAAAAATGGCTAGTTAAAAAGTCGAAATTTGTTTGAAGAAAAAAAACCCACCCCGACCACAAATATTCCGCTACGTTCGTATCGAAAGTCGGAACAAAAACAACCTTGTGTTCGCATGTTTCTTTCTCAGCGCCAAAAAAGCCTAAGTCTGTGAATTTTTATTTTTTTCCAAAGATCTTTTATCTATAGCTGTTTCAATTTTTTTATCAAAACCTGATGGAATGGACTTGGGCATATTTGGCGCTGAGAAAAAGCATCTGAAGACAAGGTTCGTTTTTATTTTTTGCGAACACAGCACAAAGATTTCAAAATACCTTAAAACAAAACAATACCAGATGAGGTCGTATGATATACAGAGGGCGATTCTACACTCAAATTTTAAAGAGAAAAGTACCTCAGATAACGCTAGTGAAAACAATTTTCATTTGTTTTCAAAATTCAACCTAAATTTCGCAGAATTGTTAGTTTTTGGGGGATGTATAAAGCTTCGCGCGTTTTGTAACGCATCGATGATGCCAAATAGCAAACTCTTATATGTTTGAATGATTTTAGGAGCGGGCAAATTTTGCCGCTGTAAGCATTAAAAATTTATAGCGCGGTTATCATCTGAAGTTGCTGAAATTACTCATTTTTAAAATCTCAAAGATTTACTAAAACTGATTGTAAAAAAGCTAGCTTCCTGCTAAAACAAAAATTACATTAAAAATGGCTAGCTGGTAAGTAAAACATTTGCTGTGAATAAAAAACCAGGTCGAGCATAAAAACCATTCCCTTCGAAGAAAAGAGTTCCGAAAAGGGGCAGAGTCGACTGTGTTTGGAACTGCATGTCTAATTGTGCAGCAACCGGCTGCACTATTGATAATTTTAAGTTGGTTTATTTGCTTCTCATATCAAATTTTGACCTACATACCCACAGGATCTGGGCAAATGCACGCGATGCAGATCAGACCTCCAAGCTTGTGCATTCTGCCAGGGACCCAGCAGATTCTTTGGGATCTCTACATGTTCCTCCTCCGTGCTCCCACACCCCTCGCACAGACCAGGTTTGAGGGGATCGTCAAAGAATTTACTGCAGAAGAGTCTGGTCGATCGAGCTTCGTTGAAAAACGAAAACTCCGAAATTTTCCTTTCTCTTTGTCCCCTGCTGTCCATTTTTAAACAATTTCAGAAATTTTCAGAAAACTTCAGAATAATTTCAGAAGCAAGAGCACTTCAACACATCGGCTTAGCTCGCCCCTTGTGAGAACTCTTTTTTAAATACTTATACTTTCGCATGAATCAGTCGATAAATTGGTGTCAGCTTTATTAATGAATTGTCGGTCAAGTAAGTTAACATAAAGCTTTATAACAAACCATTCAATGCATAATTATTGGACCGATGCAAAACTGACCAACAAAGGTGCTCAATTTCGAACGAAGTAACTTAAATTTAAGATCCTCCATCAATTGGCCAACAAGTAGAATGCATGTCAATACTAGTCACTCTGTACTGCCGTTTTAGCCGCCCTGCAAGTTCATTCTCGTTGTTTGTACCACTCGTTGTGATGGTTTGAATTACAGGTGCTGTCAAATTCGTCACTGGAATGACCAAATTGTACATCTTGCTATTACAGATCATTTTCATGTGATACCATGCATTTTGTCAGATATTTACTTCTCTAATCTTGTTCAAAGAGTTTAATGAGTTTTCGTTGGTCCATTAGAGCGAACGTGTCAATAAGTAATCGTGCGGTTTAACAACTTGAAACAAATTTAGAGCTTTTGAAGAAACGTCCCCGGGGTTGAAACAGTTATGGTAAACATAAACTTCAAGTCCATTTGGAAAAAAAATCGGAACTTTTATTATCTTTTTTGAATTTGACGCAAAAACAGAAACTTCTCGGCAGATTTCGCTTTGTTTACCTACCGCATAATTCAGCCGAGGGCTTTCTCTTCAATTTATTTTAGGGCCAATTCTTTAATTTCATGTTAAATTGACATAAAAATATCCCGCATGCCATAAAAAAGCATTTTTGCCTAAGAAGTTTACTGAGATAAAGCTGAAAGCAAATGAATCAAGAAAATCAATGCTTTAAGAATTAAATGTTGATGAAAACTGATGATACAGGGTTTAACATACAAATGAATACTACTGCGGTTTTTGCTAATGCTCATTCGTTTTCTATAATAAATTGAGCTGGAAATAATTGAATCTTCTCAGCTTTGGTAATTTGGTGCTATTTTATCACTTCATCAAATGCCAATATGTATTTTCAAACCCATCTTTAGGAAGTTCGAACCGAATTGACTTAACTGAACAGAGAAATTGAACTACATACAGCAGGGGTAATTTGGTACCAGTTTTCAAATCCTCTTCATTAGCTTGACAGTGTGACAATTTAATTATTAAAATAAAACAGCTCCGTCCTCTGCGGTCACTTACTACCCCATTAATCAGATTAGGCAGGCGATTTTTTTCCAAAACATTGACATTGATGACGTGTGGGGGCTGTCTAATTCAAAACTATCGCAACTATACAAAGAAAAAAATGATATAATTCAAAACAAGTCTGTTCTAATAAATTAACGTGAGAGCATAATTGGGTTAAGGAAGACAGCAGTTTTAGAAACGACGGTTCGAATTTGAAGAAAACTAGATTATAGGACTAAATAAACGATTTGAATCTTGTAGAGTAAATCAATCGTATTTGAAAAATTAACTTTTTGCCTAAACCAATCTTTTTGCCAAAAATATTCAATTGTGGAAAGTCCAGAGGCAAACTTGAAGAAAACTGGAGCTCCGTTCTGAAAAACCGACTCAATCTACTTAAAGTCAGTCTCCTTCTTTTAGTTTTTTTTTCAAAAATACGACAAAATTGTTCGCATCAGGACAAAGCTATAAACGTCTGAATTGCCTTTCACCAAACTTGATATGTTTTTTGGCAAAAAAGTGATACATAGTTCAAAAAAGTATATAGTTTTTTAGAAAGGCTGTTGCAGCGCAAATGTAAGCGAGAGTATAAATGCATATAAAATTGAACCAAAATGTAAATGCATATAGGGACAGTAGCCGAGCGTATACAGCGTTCGAATCCCGCCTAGGTTATTTCCTTTCTAGAACTCAAATATGCCCCGAAATTGATGGGACGCTCCGTAACCAGGTCCGAACTCCCCCCCCCCCCCCCCAAAAAAACCTAGTTTAACCATCTTTTCGCTCTAGTTTGGTTCAGCCTTGAAAAAGACAGGTATTCTCGTTCTTAACATAGCTGAGGATTTTATCTCAAAGCGAAAGGCCAAAGACCAAATACTTATCGAAAAGTATAAAGAGCTGCACCAGCCCGCTTCCCTTGAGTTGAAGACTCTGTTGTTACTTGGACGATACAGTGCTGACCTAAGTACACTGAAAGCTAAGAAGAAGCGGAACCGTTTGTCGCCTAAAAATCGTAGGGCGATTCACAATAGACTTAAAGCGTTAAAACTTCAAGTTCCTCCCCCATGTAAGTTATTGATGTATTAGATTATTTTGTGAATTTACTTGAGTGAAAATAAAGTTTTTTCTGAGAGTTGTTTGTTTCTGAAATTATGAGCATGGAAGTTAAGTTTCAGAAGAAAATTAAGAAGTTGTTTGAGAAACGTAGCAATCTCGAAAACGAACTTTATAAATGCCACGAAATAACTTTGGAATTTATAGAGAGTCAGAGTCGTTGCTCAAAAATTGATACCTAGATTGAAAAATGTAGGAACTTTATAGAACAAGCGGTCGAGGTAAATAATGAGTTGATTGATATGGCTGCAAAAAGTGCCAGCCCCGATGAATTGATACCGGCACAAAATATGTGGCTTCATAAGTTGACACAAAGCAACGATAAATTTCTGCAGGAAGCAATCACTTATAAAACAAGTTTTGAGGCAGTAACAGAGCCGAACAACATAGATAGCAGCTCAAAAATTTCTCATCATTCCGAAAAAATTGAACAACCACAGTCGCATAAAACAGATACCCGTTCTAATTTGTTACACCGAAGCATCCGACATCAGCAATCGGGTTCTCAAAAATCTAGTCGTCATACCGCCGCTCCGTCGAAAACACTTTCTGAGAAAAAGCGCAATTTAATGATTTTAAAGAAACAACAAGAGGAACTTGAGAGGCAGGCAAAGGTGTTTGTCATTAAGACTGAAAGAGCAGCAAAACAAGATGAAACAATATTTTTTAGTACAACAAAGCAGTTTAGAGTTGGAAGAATTGGCCGAAGAACACAGGAAAAAACTGGCAGAAATTGAGTTGAAAGGGCTTGAGTTAGAAGTCGGAAATCAGCGAGAATGCTGAGGAAAGTGGTTTAACTCGAATCTCTCCACGAATAACAATAAACGAAAAGGATCGTACGCGTCACTGGGTCAAATCGGTTGATCATAATCAGCCTGAATCTGTTGTAGTTTCCAATCAAGAGCAGCACGTTCGTTCGACAGCTCCCGAGGAAACTTATCCTGCATCAACAAATTACATGGTCTCATCAAGTTTACAGGAGTGAATAATGTCCAGGCAGCTTCTAGTGATCCAAGGTTGTACTTCAGTAACCACATTCACGGACAACGACTTAATTTGTCGAATTTGGTCCAATCGCAGATTTCCGTTACTAATCCAGAAGGGTTACAGCAGGTCATTCAACCTGTTTCTAATAATTTGCCTCAGCAAACTTTTTTGTCCACTCATCAGTGCTAGGTAATCCAAACACAGGGTCAGTAGTCCAAGTAATTTCTGAAAACTATTTTGCTCCGACAACATCTGCAGACGTTCCTTCTGGTGTAGCACCGTTCGTTTCTGCATCCACAACAATTAATCAAGTTTCTTTAAGTCATCAAACTACAGTAGTGGGTAAAGCAAAATCCGCAATCGCTGAGTATAGCCATAGCGGAGTACTATATAAAGACGCATTAGCAACTCTTCAAAGAAATTTCGGGCAGCCGCATGCTCTAGTAGGGGCTCATCTAGATAAATTGAGTAATTTTCCGCCGCTGAAAATGCATAACTCAGAAAATGTAATTAACTTTTCCTCTGCAATTTCTAGACTTGTTACCGTACTTGGAGTGAATAATGCCCAGGCAGCTTCTAGTGATCCGAGATTGTATTTCAGTAACCACATTCACGGACAACGACTTAATTTGTCGAAATTGGTCCAATCGCAGTTTTCCGTTACTAATCCAGTAGGGTTACAGCAGGTCATTGAACCTGTTTCTAATAGTTTGCCTCAGCAAACTTTTTTGTCCACTCATCCAGTGCTAGGTAATCCAAACACAGGTTCAGTAGTCCCGGTAACTTCTGAAAACTATTTTGCTCCGACAACATCTGCAGACGTTTCTTCTGGTGTAGCACCGTTCGTTCCTGCATCAACAACAATTAATCAAGTTTTCTAAGTCATCAAACTACAGTAGTGGGTAAAGCAAAATCCGCAATCGTTGAGTATAGCCATAGCGGAGTACTAAATAAAAACGCATTAGCAACTCTTCAAAGAAAGTTCGGGCAGCCGCATGCTGTAGTAGGGGCTCATCTAGATAAATTGAGTAATTTTCCGCCGCTGAAAATGCATAACTCGGAAAATGTAATTGGCTTTTCCTCTGCAATTTCTGGACTTGTTACCGTATTCAAGTCTCTATCTTTTAACGACGACCTGAAAAATGTTAACTTAGTGAATCAGGCTGTGAGTAACCTTCCCCCAAACCTTAAGGAAGCATGGTCAATGCAAACCGTAAGACGCCAGTGGCATCGACCAACTCTGCTAGATTTTAACGAATGGCCTAAAGAAAAAGCGGAGGGTCATGAGAGGCTAAAAACAATTAATTCTAAGGGTAAGTCTGAAGAACCAGTAAGGCAAAAAGTAAGTGTTTGCTAGTAACGCGAAAGTAAGTGATAAGACTAAGGAAAAAACAAAGTTCCCTCCAAGTTCTGTATGTAAAGGTCAACACGCTCTTTGGAATTGCGCCGTATTCAAAGAAAAAAACGCTACGCAACCAGCGAAACATGTAGCCGAACAAAAACTTTGCTTTGCGTGTTTACAGAGCAATCATAGTTTTCGTTATTGTAGCAAGGCCAGAAAGTGCCCCAAACCACAACGTGCTCTTACATGGAGCTGAAAAAATTTTTTTCCTCCTAAGGATACTAAAAGTTCCCCGGCGTC